TATTTTCAAAAGTTTTCTCCATTTTTAGGTGGTGACAAAAGAGTGTATGTAACCCACTGGCCACATTGGCCTAGAGATGATTCAGGACAAGGAAGTCACAAACTCAGCAAGACACAAAACAAGACAATGTTCCCCAGATATAATCTACGCCAGGAATCCATCCTGCTTGGTCACAAAGAGGCATTACGGTCCTCTTTGTCCAGTCCTTACTCTCTGCGTGACACCAGACCTCTTGGCCAAGAGGGTTCCCACTGTTGCCTTAACCCTAGTCAACAGGGAGACACCCTGCTCCCATCAGTGATAAGTCTATGTTCAGGCCACAGAGCCAGCACATAGCTCTCAGTTATCAACATCCATTCTGTATACCATACTATTTCAACCATTTATGCAGTATAGGCACTGTATGTGTCACATGAAACAGAACAGACAGACCACATCCGCACCAAGAAGTTGTGATCAGAAGGGAAAGCACTGGGTGTTATGAGGAGAGGTTGTCACCTACATTGGGAAGATCTGAGTGAGGTCCCTCTTAGGAAGGTTGCATCTGAGTAGAAGTCAGTCAGATGAAAAGCATCCTTGTCACATGTCAAAGCCCTGATCTTGGTAAGGACTTGGGGCTTCTGAGGAACTGAACAGAGGCCAGATGCTATAAACTAACTCCACAGAAATAAAGAACACCACAAAATTCCAGGAGGCTTAAAATCTGTAGTCACAATAGCAGCATTATTCATAACAGCCAAAGAGTAGAAACAATTCAAATGTCCATCAACTGATGGGTAAATAAAATGTAGTATAGTTTTTTAATAGAAAAGATAAATAAAATGTGGTATAGCCATACAATGGACATAAAAAGGAATGAAATCCTGACTCATTCCACAATATGAATGAATCTTGAAAATGTTATGTATGCTAAATGAAAGAAGCCAGACACAAAAGACCACATAGCACGGCTGGGTGAGGTGGCTCATACCTGTAATCCCACACTTTGGGAGGTCAAGGCAGGCAATCGCTTGGGCTCAGGGGTCTGAGACCAGGCTGGGTAACATAGTGAGACCTTGTATCTACAAAAAATAAACAAAAAATTAGCCAGGTGCAGCAAACACCTGTAGTCCCAGCTACTTAGTTGAGGTGGGAGGATCGCTTGAGCTTGGGAGGTCAAAGGTACAGTGAGCTGTGGTCATGCCACTGCACTCTAGCCTAGGTAACACAGCGAGAGCCTGTCTCAAAACACACACACACACACACACACACACACACACACACACCCCCATATAATTCCATTTGTACGAAATGTCCAGGACAGGCAAATCTATAGAAACAGATTAGTGGCAGCCAGGCTCAGTGGCTCAACGCCTGTAATCCCAACACTTTGGGAGGCTGAGGTGGGCAGATTACCTGAGGTTGGGAGTTTGAGACCAGCCTGACCAACATGGAGAAACCCCACCTCTACTAAAAATACAAAATTAGCTGGGCATGGTGGCACATGCCTGTAATCCCAGCTACTACTCATCTCTACTAAAAATACAAAATTAGCTGGGCATGGTGGCACATGCCTGTAATCCCAGCTACTCGGGAGGCTGAGGCAGGAGAATCGCTTGAACCTGGGAGCCAGAGGTTGCAGTGAGCCAAGATGGCACCATTGCACTCCAGCCTGGGCAACCAAAAAAAAAAAGTGAAAAGAAGGAAAGAAATAGATTAGTGGCTGCTTACAGCTGGGGGTGGGGAGGGGAAATAGAAAAATGAGTGACTACTAATGGCTAGGGTTTTCTTGGAGGGAGTGATGAAAATGTTCTAAAGTTGTGACACAGGTTGCACAATTCTGTGAATATACTAAAAACTACTGAACTATTATACACTTAAAATAGATGAATTGTATCATAGTGAACTGTATCTCAATAAAGCTGTTACTTAAAAATCTGGAGTCACAGACCTTAGGTTAAGAACGCCAAATATAACGCTTTTTCTTTTTTTTTTCCTTCTAGCTCTTTCTCCTTAAGAACCCAGTAGGCATTCACTAAAGGGCTAAGCCAAAAGATAGCTGAGCATGGCCGCACTATGCTGCCCCCCTCCTGGGTTCCCAAAGGTCCTCTAAAACCAAGCTTATGCACAGGACTTTCCCCTTCTCAAGAGATGTCCCTCTCCTAGTTAGCACTCACACTTAGAAGATAAACCCTAAAGGTCAAGGGTTTTTGTCCCAGGGCCAGCAATCAGTTCAACTTCTATTCATGGCCTGTTCCCCCTCTCTGAAGACCTCTGAACTCTGATGAAAAAATAAACCCTACCTTTTCCATCAGCCCCATTGACACACCCATACAAGCCAGAATTTCCAGAAGTGACTCTCATACCTGGTTATGTGTTCTTCACAGTGAATGGAACAGACTCTCGCTTACCTGTGGACAGACCTTTTACTGGACCACAATGGGTAACAACACTTTCAGATCCAAATTAGGTCTCCTTCCTTCATAAGTGTTCCCCAATTTAGCAGTGTTTCAGCTGTTGAAAATCCGTTTTCTCTTTTCTGGTAAGTATATCCTTACCAGAAGATAAGGGGAAACTTTCTGGGTCCCACCCCTCACCCACAGTCAGTTCAGGAGCCTGTGATGGGGGCATCACCTCCAGCTCCAAGGATAGAACAAATGACTGTTCTGATGAATTTCATTGCACTGTATCTCCCAAACACTTTCCCCTGCACTAGTGGATTTCAAATTTGAATTGTAGCAAACAAAAGTTGATGCAAAACCTGACATACATTTGTTTTAAATAAAGGAGAGTTGATGGTAGTAATATTTCCAAATCTCACCCTCTTGGCCTGCACATGGATAGACACTATGTCCTACACTGTGGGAAAAACAAGGAACAGGACATGATGCCTGCCTCGAACACCTTGCAGTGGAGTTGGGGGCAAGAAATAAAAGCACGAAAAGTAATGATGATTAAATAATACTATATAATAATAGAAGAAATCTCACAGAGCCTGCCACTTATCAGAAGAGGGTTAGAGGCCTGCAGCTCAGCACTGAGCCTTTTGATGCCTCTCTTCTAAGCCCTACTCATTGTCTGATATTTACCTTGGCTGTGACCTTCCCCAGTAAGACGTTTCTGGAACACCCTCCTGCCTCATCACATCACACACACACACACACACACACACACACACACACACACCCCACCCCTTTCAGCCCAGATTAGAGCTCAGTGTTCCTGTAATATCTCTGTACCACTGCATTTACCATATTTTAAAAGAACGATGTCTCCCCGACACTTCACAGTATAGGCTCTGAGTTTCATAAAGGCACAGAGTGGATACTCTAAGAATGCAGTGAGATTCTCCCTACTCCATGCTCCTTTCTTCCATCTTTCGTTCACGGATGTCAGCCCTACATCCGTCTGCAGGATGTTCCTGTCTGCTCCAACTCCCTCCCCCAATAAGTCTCTCACACATCTAATCCCATCTTAGCATCTACTTCTTGGCAAACACTAACAAATTATTATAAGGAATTACCTTGCACTACCATATTTATACAAAAAAGCAGTTTGTTCATGCATTTAGAATATTGATTTGTTGGTTGACAATGTTAAGCCTAATGACCTATACCTTTTGGGTACTGACACACTTGATTTTGCACTTATTAAAGTGTGACTTTCCAAAAACAAACAAAAAAAACTTTCATTGTATCATTAGGATATGGTATAAGACTTGTTAACATTACAAAAAATAAAAAAACCATGCTGTAGCCTTAGAAGAACTTGCTTCATGTATCTAAGGGTTTTTCTTTTTCTTTCCTTTTTGTATTTATTTAATTTTTTCCTGCAGGATAACATAGTGTTAAAAGCACAAGCTTCTGGACTACTTGAAATCAAACCACAGCTTAATCAGCTCTATGGCCTTTGGCAAATTACCTCAACTCTTTAAACCTGTTTCTGATCTGTAACATGGAATGATCCTTGCTCATCTGTAACATATACATTTATAAAACAGGACCCACCAATGAGGTCATTTTAGGAATTAAATTTTAAAACGGCTAGAATGGTGCAGGCTGAGTAAGCACTGAACACAGTACTTATTAGCTATTATCTCTGGTGCTCTGTGCCATGCAAGAACTATTAGAATACATTTAAAAGCATTTTGCAAACTGGAAAGCCCTTTTAACAGTTTAGTTTCTCTAAATGTAATAATAAGCATCAGCCATCTCCTTTTACGGAAAATTGAGGTGGAATCACATCAGCAAGAGAAGACTGAGGACTTGTCTCTGGCTCTGTTCCTGATTTATTAACACAGTACATGATCCTAGAGTAACAGACTCCTGATATTCCTGAAAGTAGAGGCGGTTGGGTTAAAAATACTTTTCCCTTTCAAAACTCTTTCAAATATTCTCCAAAAGAAGCCAGAAAAGCTCCTGTATGAGTAGATAATTCACTTTAAAATTCGCTCATCAATCCTTAACACGAGAGTCTGCAGGGCTGGTGCAGCGGCGTCAGCCGGAAGAGAGCTGAACGCCGATGGGCAGTTGGGGTGTCTCCGCACGCCTCGGAAACAGCAGCCCAAACCTCACAACGCAGAACCACGAGATAACGGGGATTGCAGAGCCCTGCGCAAAAGAAGGAAAATTAAGACGCAGCGGAGCCCAGGAGGTGTCCGCACGCGGGAAGGACTGGCCTGCAGACGAGGCAGGGAGAGGTTTGCACTCAGCGTGGCGCGGGTGAGCGGCGTGCTCTCGGGCACCCGGCTGCCAGTTCGGATGCTCGCGATCCTCGGAGAGCCGGGGAGCTGCGCCGGAGTCACTTCAGCCTACGTTGTTCAGGTGACACCGGGGAAGAGCAGACTTCAGGTGTGCAAAACGTTTCGGGGTTTCGGGGCTTCGGGGCCGGCGGTTCCGGGCGCGCCTCGCGGGCGGCGGCGCAGAACTACAACCCCCAGGCTCCCCGGCGTGGCGGCACGTGGGCCCGGGACGGGCTGCAGCGGATATAAAGCGCGGCGGCTCCTGCGGGGCGGAGCGGCGGCACGGACGGAGCCGAGGCCTGGTGGGGGGGGGGCGCGGCCCGCGACTGCGCGGGCGAGGACCGACGGACGCAGACGGCCAGACAACCTGGGCGTTCCGGTGGAGGGGCGCCGGGGCCTGACTCGCGGGTGGGTGAGACGGTGACGGACTCGGAGGAAAGGGGGAAGGCAGATACGCTAGGAAACAGAGCTGGGAAAGGTGTGAATGCGAGAAGTGTCGGGATAGACCAGGGCAGAAGGACCCACTCCACCGGATTGTTTGCAGACAGCATATCTGCCGGGTATCCGAAGGTCCTTTCCTCAAAAATAGAGTTAGCAATTGAGCGGAAGGGAGCTTAAAGTTAAATCTGATACATCCCCCCTTCACTTTTGGAGAAATTAATGGTTTTCTGCTTTTAAAAAAAATCCCTATTTGTATTTCCTCTTCTCTGAGTAGCTGTCGCTTAAGATATTCTCTGCCGGGAGGTATATTCTACCCCCACTTTCTGTCTCTTGAAAAAACAACTTTGCCATTTGAAAAATAATTTGACTTAGGCAGCTTTAATTCTTTGCACTAAGTGTTCTTATATGTGGATGGAGGTATAAGATTTCAAGAGTAATACCCCCTCCCAATGTTTCAATAATAATATTCTAAATTCACGTTAAGCCTTAGGCTGGAGAACATTTGAACCATTCTCTTTAGCTACTAGCTCTGAAAACTTCAAAGCATAACATTCCCAAGTTTATCTAAAACTTGAATCTTAAAAATATTGGTAATTCTCTGTTATGCTTCAAAGTATAACGTTCCCAAGTTTATTAAAAACTTGAATCTTAAAAATACCATTCTCTGGTAAAGACTTTTTTTTTGGTTTTTGCTTTTGTTGTTTAAAGACGGAGTCTCACTCTTGTCGCCCAGGCTGGAGTGCAGTGGCGCGATCTCGGCTCACTGCAACCGCCACCTCCCGGGTTCATGCCATTTTCCTGCCTCAGCCTCCTGAGTAACTGGGACTACAGGCGCGCACCACCACGCCCAGCTAATTTTGTATTTTTAGTGGAGACGGGGTTTGGCCATGTTGGCCAGGCTGGTCTCGAACTCCTGACCTCAGGTGGTCTGCCTGCCCCGGCCTCCCAAATTGCTGGGATTACAGGAGTGAGCCCTCACACCGGCCAAAGTTGTTTTTATCCCATTTCTTCTTGTAGGCATTTCACAGTTTGCAAAGGCAGCAAACTTTTACTTGTTCAGTGTATTTGCTCTGTGCAAAGAAATTTTCGAAGCTGTCATTGCCCCCAGATGGCAGACAGTCTAGGAGAGGACCCGAAACCACCCTGCTTAATAACTCTGATGTAAGGTTTTTAATGAAAAGCCAGCGTTTGGGGGAATTCTGAGGTTTAAGAAATTATTTTCGGCTCGGGTACCAGGGAGTCCCCTGGCGTTTAAAATGAGGTTTTTTGTTTTGGTTTGGTTTTGTTTGTTTTTGTTTTTAAGTTATAACTGCTGGAATGGATAAAGTGAGCTTTAAAAGCTGGTCAGACTGAAAAGATTGAAGTGAGGAACAAAGGCAAGCAGACAGACAGTGAAAGGTAGGTAGGAGGAACAGCAAACAGAACGCTGGGCAAGTGCAGTGCAGGCATGAAGATTTGAACAGAGACCCAGACCCCAGGGAGCTGGGTCTTTAGCCTACTAGCATTTTCTAAACAGGACAAAGACAAGACCAGGAATGCTGGTTTTAGTGGAAGATTAACCTGACAGCTGGTGTGGATTGAAGAGAAGAGGGATTAGGACAGTGATTCCTAACCCCTATCCTACACTCCCACGGACCCTGTGTTTTGAATTTTTGAACTAATCAAACTACATTTGTGGTAATTAGTTTTATTTCTTTCCATCAAAGACACACATAAAACTGCCAATTTGAGCTTCTCATGAATCTAAGAACATCAGTGTTACTGTCCTTAGTGTGAAATAAATGCAGGCAAAAGCACAAGACTATGGAGTTTTATTTAGCCCGAACAGCCTAGTAGTGTTGGATTTAGGAGATGTTTAATGCTGACTCAAGCTCTCAGGACTCTTATCACTTGAACCTTCTTGGGCCCCGTGGTTTTGCCTATTTGTCTAGATAAGAGGTAACAAAGAGGCAAATTATAAAGTCATGAGGAGGAAAGGAGGAATAGCAGAGGAAGAAGATAACAGAATTGAAATGACTTAGTCCCTAAATAGACAAGAGTAGTGAGGGTTGGAAAGGAGGCACCAGCAGAGCAAAGATAACGGGGAAGATGATGCTGGTAAGGGCATGATAGTATTTCCTACTGTCCTATACACATCAGGCAAGACTTCATGGAGGGCACTGAACATGTACTCACTATGTGTCTAGCATTGTTGTTAATTACTTTACATGAATTAGTTCATTTAATTCTCTCAACCCTATGAAATATAATTAGTATTATCCTCATTTACAGAAGGGGAAACTGAAGCAGAAAGAGGTTACTTAATGGGCTCAAGGTCACCTACCTGGTAAGTGGTAGAGCCAGGATGCAGATCCATGAGGTCTGACTCCAGAGCTGGCCCTCTCACCCCTCTACAGTAAGGAACAAAGGAGATGGCAGGTTCCCTTTTGGCATGTTAAGTCGAGATGCTTGTAGGAGTGTTAGGTGAAGATAGACAGCAGGCATAGCATCAATCTTCTTTGATGCTTAAACATCCCTCCCGGCGGGGAGATGGCCTAGGTTATGGGCCTTAAGGCTCAGAGGCTAAGTGGCATGCTTTTGGACCGAGGGTGGTCACATGAAGCTCAAAGAGTGATTAGAGCCACATCTTACGATTTCTTATCTTGTGTTTTCCCATGGGCCAGGTTATTGGATTTATCTTTCTGAACTTCCAATCTGATTTTAGTCTCATGTTTGAACTAGGAAATACAGAGCAAAGCTACATGCAGGACTTAATTTTAGGAGCAACAGCAACTATTGCTGGGAACATGTCTGTTTGCAAGGAAAGTATCATGTTGTCTTTCTACTGAAAGTAGTCAGTGTTACTCAAGGGCTTACCTGAGCCAAGACTTGGGGAAGAAAAATAGAAGGTATGGTCGCTGTACTTCAGAAGTTTGTTCTCCTATTTGGGAAGATAAGATGAACAATTAGAAGAGCAAACAAAATAAGATAGCTCATAACTAAGTACTACATTGTGTGGATTAGATTTAAGTATAGTGGGCATTGAGTTTTTGAATGTGCCAGTAATGTCAGAACTATAGCATAACCCTTCTTGTTGGTCACCTATAGACATCTCTTTATTTGCTACAAGGCCACTATCTTTTGTAGAATTGTCATCAAATACTATCTGATTATATTTTATTTTCATTTTCAATTGTTAGACATTAAATTTGTGATTTGGAATTGCATTTGTGGCTTTTTATGTCTTATGGCTCAGAAAACAATAATGCTTCTATAACTAGCAAATGTCAGAGCTGTGAGTTGAACCAGGTGGTCTGCCTATGGAACCCAGGCTGTTAACCAGTCTGCTCTGTTGCTTCTTGTGGCCCATCCAGAGTCTTTTACACTGATTATGGGCAGGTACACTCTCTGCCAGATGGTGAGAGATCCTTTGGCCCCAAATGAGTGGTGTGAGGTTGATTCAGCAGTGAGCTCCCCGTCTGCGGAAGCCATCGTCCAGCCACAGTCTGAACACCTCGTTCAGTCACCCACATATTCTTCTCTCTTGAACACCTGGTGTCAAGCAGAGGGCTCACTGCAGAGAGCAAAGGCAAATGAAACATCCCTGTCCTGGGAGCCTGCTCTAGTGGGGAAGAGGAAGGTGTGAATATGCAGTCTACATGGTTAACTAGAACTAGGAAAACTGGACAAAACTGGGCAAAATTAGGATATGAAAAGTTAGGTAAATCTGAAGGTAGTTATGTAAATCAAGATGAAACCTTAAGACAGTCAGGTTTGTTTTAGGTGAGATTCTAAGAATGAAGACAGTGGAAAGAGAAAATGTCCCCTTTTATGACCATATTTCAGTTTAAGTAATAGTACAGTTGACCCTTGAATTACATGGGTTTGAAGTGTGCAGGTCCATTTACACAGATTTTTTTCAACCAAATGCAGATAGAAAATCAGTATTTGCAGGATGCAGAATTCTCATATGCCAGGCTGGGGCTGACTGCGTGACTTGAGTAGGCATGGATTTTGGTATACATGGGGGTCCTGGAACCAATTTTCTGTGTATACTGAGGCATGACTATAATTCACTGTATGTTTTACTTACCTGAGTTAGGTTCAAGCTCTTTCTTGGGTCTGCTCCTGTTTACCTCTATCCTTTGAGGATTTAGATTGCTTCCATCATCTGTGTAGATAAAATGGGAGGCTGTCCACATAGTATTTTCTCAGGTCTACCCTCTCCTGTCTTAAAGTTTCCTCCTCAATAGAATTAAGCTCTAAAATTTTACCATCTTGTACTTGCTCTGTGTGTTTGTGTACTTGTAAGCACATTTTACAGTTCTAAACTAGAAATGAACTTTGCCTGGGAGTTTTATCATTGACATTCCTTGAAGAAAGAGAGAAATTACATTGTATGTTTTCCAGACCTACCAGCAGCTCAATGGCCTTCCCAAAGAAGAAACTTCAGGGTCTTGTGGCTGCAACCATCACGCCAATGACTGAGAATGGGTAACTATCATTTGGGGCCTTGAGGGGATCAGTTCTCATTCAACCAAAAAGGAGAAAAGTTCTTTGTAACAACAGTCACTTAAGACCCTGCATCTCTGTGGAACTGTTGCCAAAAGGCAGCTTCTGTCTGTCATCCCTCTGCACTCTCTCTGATCCCCAAGTCTGAGGAGGCATTATATCTCTGACCCCAAAGTCAAAGAAGCACTATATCACCTTGCAGAAAGGCAGCTTGCCTTTCTCTCAGTGTCTGTAGAGCCACAGAGCAAATTCTCCTTGGATTTCACGACAGCTCTGGCCTTTCTAAACAGCACCAGTAGCATTGGATAAAAATCCCATTTTAGCATAATTGGATATCAAACACTGATCTAGCCCCTCTCAGGATCCTATCTCTAGACATCAGCATGATTCCACTTCAGGCTGTTCATAGACTTGATAAAAATGTCCTACCCTAAGGAAAGTGGGAAGTTATCTGCAAGATGGACTCCTTACTCATGTTTACAGCCTCATTTCAACATTGACTAGATGTTGGGCAGCGGGGGAAGGGAAGTAACAACAGTTCATTGTTGACTAATCATTACCCCAAGCAAGTATTTTGACCTCCGGATGAATACAGTGGCAGTCCTTCTGCTCAAAAATCAGATAATAAAAAGGCCCTGTGACTTAGGGAGCCATGTACTGTGTATAACTCCTCCTTGAACATCACCCCGACAAAAGAGAGTTCATCCACCTCCTGATCTGTATGTTTTTGACTCGTCAGAAGAGTCAGGCTGCCCCAACAGTTAGAATGCTGGCTTAATCTTCTCCTTTCTTTCTGTGTAGTATAATAATCATACCTACATAATGAATTATAAGCATTAAATGAGATAATTCATACAACAGTGCTTAGCACAGGGTCAATATGCACTTAGGTCAAAAAGTTTGAACTGCCTTTATGGCATAAGACAGAGGCAAAAGGATGTATTTAATACACCTTTTACAAGGGACTTTCTTTTTGGTCTTGCTGAATTTATAAACCTTCATCTTACCCCTTTAAAGGAGATGAAATTTCTTATGTCTTTTAGTATTCTCCTTTAAAGCTGGCCATTTTGCAGTTCTGCCTTAGAGACTCCAATGAGTCCAAGATTTCTGGCTTCTAAGATCCATGAAAAATCACATCCTTACTAGGTCTAAATAAGATTCTTGCTGGTATGGCATTTAGATTACTCAGCTGGTTAATAACTTTTTTCTGTTACTTCCCCTTTCCACAAGTTTTAAGAAAGACTGGCATCAGCTGTTTCTCAATGCATCAGTCACTTGTTCGCAGATCAAAACAGAAGACATGTGATTGAATGAATCGGCAGGATTTACTTCCTGTTACAGAGTGAGATCCTGCCTGTAATCTCCTAACACTGCATCTGGTCCATGCTACTTTAACCTTTTAATAAGACCCCTCTTATCCTGGAAGTGCCTTCTTAAAACAGTTTTGTTTGTTCATCAGGGACCCATGGAGAATGTCAGTGTGTTCTTCCTCCTTGTTTTGCTGTTTTCCTGGAAGGCCAGATCCTATGATTAGAGATAACTAAAATGACTGTTTTTCTGGATCTTTTTCCGTTTCCCAAAAACCTGTGGTCCTGCTGCTTCCATTTTACTATTTTCTCATCAGTTCTGTGTCTTTCTTCTAGGAACCTTACTTTCCTGAGGTGTGAAATCAAAAAAAAGAATGCATTATGTGTAGGCTCTTTAAGAAACAAATTAAATAGTGTAGGTCAGTGTATAGCACAGAGTAGGCATGTGAGCCGTGTTAGTTCCCCTTTTCTCCCACCACCTGCTTCATCAAACATTCCTGTAGATACAAAGTAGTTTTGGAACACCCACCAAGAACATGTAGGCATTAATGTACTTACCCACAAGGGAATCTGCACTTCTGGCATGTTTCTAAGACACGAGATGGAAGGAAGGGGCACATGGAATCTAATACCTGGAAATACTGCCAGGTGACCTGCCATTGTGGGAGTTCTCCTAACCTGGCATGTACGGTATACATATCCTCCATAATTCTGAGTGGCTGAACAAGGACTATTTCCCTACATCCTTTATTTCTTCTCAATTCCAATGAATGCTCACTAACAATTCAGCTTTCTGCATATAAGTTGATGTCCTGGAGTAGGGTAGCTGGCAGAAAGAACATGGATAAGTAGATCTTAGTGAAACGATCCAAGCTTTGCCATCAGGTAGCTTCTGACCCTGGGGAGATCTTGTCACCTTTTAAGAGCTCTCTTGGCCAGGCACGGTGGCTCACGCCTGTGATCCCAGCACTTTGGTAGGCCAAGGCGGGCAGAGCACAAGGTCAAGAGATTGAGACCATCCTGGCCAACATGGTGAAACCCTGTCTCTACTAAAAATACAAAAATTAGCTGGGTATGGTGGCGCGCACCTGTAGTTCCAGCTACTCAGGAGGCTGAGGCAGGAGAATTGCTTAAACCTGGGAGGCGGAGGTTGCTATGAGCCAAGATCACACCACTGCATTCCAGCCTGGGCAACAGAGCGAGACTCTGTCTCAAAAAAACAAAAAAAAAAGGCTCTCTTTCATATTCTCCAAAGAAAGTTCAACCACATTATCTCTATGACCCTTTCCAGTTCTTAAGAGTCTGCAGTCCTCTTGTGTTATGTCATTGGAGATATTGTGGGAATCACCATTAAATAAGAATGTAGAAAGTACCTGTAATTCCAGTCCATCGTCCACACTGTAGCTTGGTGAGCTTATCCTAGCAAATAAATCTGATCACATGTCACTCTCCTCTTTAGGGATCTTTTGACTCTCTTTTGTCTGAGCCTTGCTACCCATCATATGGCCCATGGACCAGTTGCTCCACCACCATGGGAACTTGGTAGAAATGCACAATCTCAGGCCCTATCATACCACAGATCCGTCCTGCATTTTAACAGTGTCGCAGATGATTCTTTAGCACATTAAAGTCTGAGATGAGCTGGTCTAAAGATTAAAGCCCAGACTCCTTGGGATAGCATAGGAAGTCCTTCACAGTTTACCTTTCCTGCTTCATTTCTTTGTCACCATACCAATTCTGCCCTTCATGCCTTTACTCATTCTGTTTCCTCTGCCTTTTGCTACCACCATCTTCTTTCTTGCTCCACTTGAACACTTCTACTCATCTATCAAAAGCATCCTTAGAAATTCTTTCCCAATTCTCTTAAAAGGAGTTAGATGACCCTTTTATAGCACCCTGTCCATATTCTTCCCCTGTGATCCCATAGCGCACTTTTTTCATTGCATCAAAATTATGTTTATAATTATTACAATAACTTTTTGTTACTTGCCTGTGTCTTGCAGCAGTCTTTGAGCTGCTTAGCCCTATTCAATAGATATTGAATACCAGATAGTACACAAGGACTGAGAAACTATCTTATTTATCTTTGTATCTTAAGCATGTGGCATAGTTGTGTAGCTTTTGTTATTTTATGAATGAGTATACTGCGGGAATTACTAGTGCTGAGAGTCAAGAAAAAGGGAAGGAAGCGAACACTGATTGATGCTATGTCAGTCATCATGCGGGCATTTCATTTACATGTTCCCACTTAATCTTGGCAATAGCTCTGTGAGGGAGCCATAGGTATCTCTGTCCTGGCAGTTGAAGAAACTGAGATCCTAAAGGCCAGCCCAGCTGCCCCACGCCACACAGCTAGAAAGGGAGGATTTCTCTACCTATCCAACCCTTGCCCTTTTGTACACTAGCAAGTCTAATGAAAGACTTGCCTTTTTTTTTTTTTTTTTTTTTTTTGAGACAAAGTCTCACAGGCTGGAGTGCAGCGGCACAATCTCAGCTCACTGCAACCTCCCCGTCCCAAGCTCAGGCGATTCTCCTGCCTCAGCCTCCTGGGTAGCTGGGATTAGAGGCGTGCACCACCCTGCCTGGCTAATTTTTGTGTTTTTAGTTGAGACAGGGTTTCATCATGTTGGCCAGGCTGGTCTCAAACTCCTGACCTCAAGTGATCCGCCCGTCTCGGCCTCCCAAGGTGCTGGGATTACAGGCGTGAGCCACCGCACCAGCCAAGACTTGCTTTCCTTATTTGTTCTAAGAAGTCACTTCTTCTTTGGGCAGGCTCACAGTAATTAGAACAGAAAGTCCATTTCAGATCTAAAATGTCAAGAGCAAAAGTTGTGTTTTTTCCCTCAAATGCTCTTGGCATCACCCTGGGAATCTTCACAACACCCTCTGGTAAAAACAAACCTGTTAACCCCAGTGAGAAAAGGCCTAGCCTGCTAGAGCCAGACTGGCATAGATTATTGTCTTTTTAACAGTGTTTGGGACGCGGGGACCCAGACTCCCAGAACAGAACATTTTCCACCTCCAACAGAGTGGGCAGGTTAGTCCCTGCCTGCCTCCCTGCTGAAAGAATTTTAAAATAACCAGGTGGCTATTTTGCCAAGAGTACGTATAACTCCTATCTGATTGAATGCTGAGAGATACGTATAAAAGGCAAAAGAAAATGGAAAGTCAGGTTTTCTAATATGCATGCCACATCATGTCAGGTATGAAAATAGCCTGTCCTGTGGATTCTGTCTTCCCAGATGAAGTGAAAGTCTTTCATGGTGGTTCGTGCACCAGGAGAGGAAACAAAAAGCAATAGTGATTTCTCCCTGAAAAGCCACTTGAGAAAAATTCTATTACGCTTTTACCCTAAGAGAAGAGTTGTAGAGTCTACCTGCAGTTTCACAGTCCACCCACTCTGGACCTCAATTTGTGGCAAAAAGAACAAGACTTTCTTCTGCTTATATAGTTTGGGCAAACCAAATGTCTAAGAACAGACAATTAGAAAAAGGAATTATATTCATCCATAAAATAGAATGTTGTTTAACCGGTATAGTATGGACCATCTAAAAATGTGGGAAGATGTTAAAATTAGAATGCTGCGTGAAAAATATAAAACTGTCTAATATGGCCATATTTATACAAGAAAATAATGTAATGTGTATTTGTGAATAGAAGAATATCAAACTAAGAGGAATCATCTCCAGAGATATCCTGAGTGGGTTTTCTTTTTTTATTGTATGTACTTAAGTAAACTATATAGCTCCCGTAATTTAAAAAAAAAAAAAGTTAAATAAAATTAATGGGGCACAGTGGCACACATCTATAGTCCCAGCTACTTGGGAGGCTGAAGTGGGAGGATTACTTGAATTCAGGAGTTTGAGGCCAGCCTAGACAACATAGCAAGACCCTGTCTCAAAAAAAAAAAAAAGCCCCAAGACATGAATCTAAACCCAATGCAAAGAATCTGAATCCCCAGGAATTAAGACATTAAACTGGGTTTAAATATAAAAATGACTACAGCAAGCATGGAATTTGGGTCTGGGTCACTCTCCCCTGATGTGCCCAGTTGTTAGATGTGTTCTTGGGGCTTGTGAAAGAAGAGAGGATGCAGTGCAGCCTATTCAAGTGAATTGGCTTCTGTCAACTCACTTCTGTGAGCACTGAGCTCCAAATGCCCAGTGGGTGGGCAGAAGAATAATCCAATCTCATTGTTTCTAGTCTCTCTCATGACTTCCTGGTAACTGATCACGGATAATGGCCTCCGGTGATGAAAACAGACCTAGGTACCATGAGAGTAGGGTGGGAAAACAAGTGAAGGGACAGGCTGGGCATGATGGCTCACACCTGTAATTCCAGCACTTTGGGAGGCCGAGGTGGGCCGATTGCTTGAGCCCAAGAGTTCGAGACCAGCCTGGGCAACCTGATAAAACCCTGTCTCTATAAAAAACACAGAAATTAGCTGGGCGTTGTGTCACGCACCTGTAGTCCTAGCTACTGGGGAGGCCAGAGGATCACTTGAGCCTGGGAGATTGAGGCTATAGTGAGCCGTGATCGTGCCACTGTACTCCAGCCTGGGTGACAGAGCAAGACCCTGTCTCAAAAGAAAAAACAAAAATGGACAGAGTCCTCAAGGAGAATTATTTTCACCCTCACCCTGCCTTTTGGGTGCCTGTGTAACAAATGTGGTAGCAGCCCTGGATGATTTCACCCCCACTTGTGCCTAGAGCTGCTGAGCATCCCAGCCCAAGGCTGCAAACTTGCACCTGCAGAGTTAGGCAGGGATCTGAAATGCCTGAGGGACCTGGGGGCATCCAGTCCTCTAAAGTGGGCCTGCTGCTGCTCTTTCTAATTTCCAACTGTATGGAAGTGTAGCCCTGGGGGTTTTTGTTTTTGTTTTGTTTTGTTTTTTGAGACCGAGTCTCACTCTGTCACCCAGGCTGGAGTGCAGTGGTGTCATCTTGGCTTACTGCAACCTCCACCTCCCGGGTTCAAGCAGTCCTGCCTCAGCATCCCTATTACAGGCTGAGATTACAAGTGCCCACCAATACACCTGACTCATTTTTGCATTTTTGGTAGAGACGAGGTTTCACCACGTTGATCAGCCTGGTCTCAAACTCTTGACCTCAAGTGACCCACCCATCTCAGCCTCCCAAAGTGCTGGGATTATGGGCATGAGCCACCATACCCAGCAGCCCTGACATTGTTAGATTTTTCTGGCTTTTCAAATACTCATTTGTTAAAAAATGTAATGTCAAAGTCAAACACATTTAGAGTTAGCCCCTTTTCAACCTAGATCTCTCTGAAGAGGTCTGGTAGTTCCAAAAGGACTTAAGTCCAAGAACATTTTCTGGATGATGGCCGCCGCCCCCAAAATTCTGCCATTAGTGTCATTCTTGTAGGTTAGGGGCATTTTATAAGAAGCAGCAAACGACTTTCTCCTTTCTTGAAGGGGCAGATAATGCATAACCCATTAGACCTCTAACCCTGAGTGAAATTGTCAGCTGAATAGCCTGTCTCCCAGCAAGGCCTGAAGGAGAGAGGTGAGTGTAGGTGGAAGCACTATCCAATGAGGCCATCAAACTGTGAAGTTCATGGAGGAAAAAAGAGCTTCCAGTTTCACATGCTGGCCTAGACCTGCCTAAGTGTGCAGCCAACTCCTTAAAAGAGGATGATACTAGAATAGGGCCAAGCAAACAGTACCTCTCAAGAATGTTGGAAGGGTCGGGCGCGGTGGCTCGCACTTGTAATCCCAACACTTTGGGAGGCTGAGGCAGGAGGATTGCTTGACCCCAGGAGTTCGAGACCAGTCTGGGCAACATAGTGAGGCCTCATCTCTACCCAAAATTTTAAAGTTAGCTGCACCTGTGGTCCCAGCTACTTGGGAGGCTGAGGCAAGAGAATCACTTGAGCCCAGGAGGTCAAGGCTTGCAGTGAGCCACAGTCATACCACTGCACTCCAGCCTGGGTGACAGAGTTAAATCTTGTCTCAAAAAAAAAAAGGTGTTGGAGGAGGGAAGAAGGATCATAGGGTTTTGTCCTATTTATCCAGATTCAGCTCTTTGATGCCTTCTTTCCAGCCTCCCTAGCTGTCATTTATCAGTCCCTCTTCTGAGCCCCCGTACAATTAATTTTTGCCTAAGTCATAACCTTCATTATATTTTGCTATTTTAATCACGTATACTATCTTCTTTACTCAATTAATGTAATAATGAAATTTCAAAATATTATGCAAGTGTGGTGCTAAGAAGCTTATAAAGGCAGGGCTCATGGTGATTTTATCATTGTAAGTTCCCACATCACCACTCCTTTGCCTAGCCTTTGCTGAACACCTGGGCTGTTCCAGGTACAGACTGAGGCCAGGAGGGAGCAGTGTTAGGATATGGGGCATGTGCCATAATGAGGGAGTTCGCTTCCCTTATAGGCTTTATAATTGCATTAACACACTTTTTCCCAAGCGGCAGGCTCAGGCCTGCTATCTTTACTCTGAGCTTGTTATAGGCATGATTGCCTGTGCATTCTTTGCATTTAGTAGCTTTCCTTTTAACCTCAGAGTCAGTTGTTCTCTAGCTTTCCTCTTTTTGTTCTTACTCCTTTTGACATATACAATTTGATGTCTTTGTTTCCTAGATGCATCAGATTTTGTTTGTTTTATTTTTGTTGTTTAAGGAATTACAGTAGGTAAAGGTGAAAAGAATGTTAATAAGGCCAAACTTCAATTAGGATTCTCTGGTCCTGTGGACAAAAGTGCAGTGGCAGCCAGCTAGCACTCTGTGTTCTTGGCAGGGTAACCACGGGCACAGTGTAACCATTTAACCCAGGCTTGCTGCACCATTTTCCTTTGGATTTCACTCTTCATTGCCCATCATTCCCCTCCTACGTTTTGATTAAGGACAGGTTGCCTAATACAATTTGTGAGTCAGTTCCTAGGTTTTGAAATCAGTATGATTTTAAGAGACATTAATCTTAAGCATCAGATCCTTACAAGGTTAGTGTGCCTCAAATTGCCAAGTGCATGCAGATCACCCAGGGATCTTGTTAAAATTCAGATTCTAACTGGGCAGGACTGTGTGGGGCTTAGGATTCTGCGTGTATAATAAAGTCCCCTGGATGCTGATGCTGCTATTCCGCCTTTGAGAGGCAAAGTGATGACAAAGTTCCTTTCTAACTGCTAACCTTGTTCAATATAAAACCAGCAAATACAGATGAGTTTAAGACTCCATGTGTTGTCCCAAATAGTAAGTGCTAAAATTCTTATAATATTAAGGTTGACTTTTCCTATCTTGTGAGCCTAAGAAATGAATGTTTCCATCCTCTGTAATGACTTCCTAATAATTGATCATGGATAATGGCCTCCAGTGATGAAGATAGACCTAAGTAACCTAAGAGTAGGGTGGGAAAACACAAAAAGGGACAGGCCAGGCATGATGGCTCCTACCTGTAATCCCAGCACTTGGAATCAAATGGCAAATGTTAAGTTCTCATTTAACTAGGTCTCCAACCATCATTCTTCCCCTAAAAGGGCAAAAGCACTGGCCATATGGGCTTTAAAGAGAGAGCGCTGGGCAAAAGATAGTTCCATAACTACTTTTTAAATACTGCTTGTGATGAGGTGTAAGTATAAAGCCTGTGTTGATAACTAATAGTGTTTTGCTCATAAAAGTGAGGCATACCTGGCTGAGTGGAGAAATCACCAGATTCAGGGGGGAAAAAAACCCAGGCATTATTTACAGCAGGCTAAGAATTTCACAAATGGAGTGGATTTTTAATAACTATTAGGAAGAGGGAGCAGTTTATATACCTGAGGATTTGTTGAATAATAATCTGAAAAAGACTAAATATGCCATTTTTTCCCATTTTTCCCATGTCTTCTAGAGAAATCAACTTTTCAGTAATTGGTCAGTATGTGGATTATCTTGTAAAAGAACAGGGAGTGAAGAACATTTTTGGTAAGTCAACTTTGGGGATGTTTCTGCATGTCTCCAGCTCAGTCTTTAGAAGGTATATCTCACCTGGTTACCAGCCAAGAGGTCATAGAGTCATGGTGTCACGAGTTATGATGAGCCTGGTTAAGCTAACTAAAATCTGTGAATTTGTAGACCCACCAATGTTAGACCTACAAAGCACCTCAAGAGATTACCTATTTGATAGTGTGCCAACACTTAAGGTATTACTTTTTATCCCCATTTAGAGATGAAAATATGTGACTCAGATATACTCTAAGTTGCCCCAGGCCTTTCAGCCAAGAAGTGGTAGAATAATAACTAAACCTTCTTAAGTAACAAATAAACCCTCTTTTCTCATTTATTTATTTATTTATTTATTTATTTTTGAGATGGAGTCTTGCTCTGTCTCCCCCCAAGGCTGGAATGCAGTGGTGCGATCTCAGCTCACTGCAATTTCCGCCTCCCAGGTTCAAGCGATTCTCCTGCCTCAGCCTCCTGAGTAGCCGGACTATAGGTGCACACCACCTCACCTGGCTAATTTTTGTATTTTTAGTAGAGACAGGGTTTCACCATGTTGGCCAGGCTGGTCTCAAACTCCTGACCTCAGGTGATCCACCCGCCTCAGCCTCCCAAAGTGCTGGGATTACAGGCGTGAGCCACTGCGCCCAGCCTCTTCTCTCTCTTAAGAATGGGCTTTATTCTGTCTTCCCCTGGCCTTTCAAATTGTGAATGGAAGGAATACTGTAAAGATAGCACACAAAGAAATCACAGGACTAGCAGTTATCCCCTTTTATTTCATAGAAAGTGAAAGTTTAAAAAAATTAGATCTTGAACATTTTAAGCCTGACAACTATATTTACCTGCGATTGAGCTGTCCCTTGCATGGTGTTCTGGGCTTTTGGACCCTTGAATGCATTTTTATTTTGAGAAGACTACACGTTGGCCCTGACCTATTGCTCTACCAACAGGAGCCCCTCCAGAGCTAGAGGTACCTGGTAATAATAATCAGAGCAGATTAAAACTTGTGTGAAAAAGTGTCCTGGGCCACATGTCAAAACCGAGACCTGATACAAAACCACTCAGTGTCCCTCTACAGCACTAAGTCATAGTGGAGAAGGCAGATTCTTACTCCACAAAGGGCAGCAGATCTCCCCTGGGTATGAGGAAAAAGCAGGAACATCCCTATAACCAGAGCACACTTGAAGTCAAGACCCCAAAGGAGTGGTTAAAAATACTTTCCAACTCCCCTCCCCTGCCTCCCGAACCTCTCCTCTTCCAGCCCAGTGCTGAGTGCTTAGAGATTCAGAGTGCCACCATATGCATGAGACCTCAGTAATGTATCCTACTGCCATAGACATCTTTCTGTGATCCATTAAGAAATGACTGTAGTAGGCTGGGCGCAGTGGCTCACGCCAGTAGTCCCAGCACTTTGGGAGACCGAGGCAGGCGGATCACCTGTGGTCCGGAGTTCAAGACCAGCCTGCCCAACATGGCAAAACCCCATCTCTACTAAAAATACAAAAAACTAGCTGGGCATGGTGGTGGGTACCTGTAATCCCAGCTACTCAGGAGGCTGAGGCAGGAGAACCACTTGAACCTGGGAGGCAGAGGTTGCAGTCAGCCAAGATCACGCCACTGTACTCCAGCCTGGGTGACAAGAGCAAAACTCTGTCTCAAAAAAATAAAATAAAAAAGAAATGATTGTAGTAGAAGGAAAAGAGGAAAGAGGATGAGTTTTGGAATCACACAACTCTGGATTCAAACAAATTATTTACTGTTTCAGACTTTATCTTTTCATCTGTAAATGAGAAAAATAATTTCTACTTTGCTGGGTTGTTAGAGTAAGTGGATATGTAAGAGCACTTGGTATAAGAAATATTAATATCCTTTGTGCTTTTTTATAAAATACTTAAAAAATGAGTTGTCCTAGAGCACTACCGTCATGTCAAACTATAAATGGAGATAGTTTGAGATCTGTAGTATACAAAAGTACCCGCATGAGTAACTCCCACTTATTTGACATTCTGGTACTGGATGGTGTTGATTTCTCTGCCATTCAAGCCCAGATATAAAACTGGGTAGTGTGTTTGGAGATTGACATAAAATGTGGGCAGTCATCTCTGTCTTTATTTAAAGTATTTGCTGACTGTCCCTAATATCAAGGTCAGATTTATAATTACAAGTCACAATTAACCTTCCCACTGCCTTTGACAAGGTGAAAGTGGAAAAAAGATGGAGCCTGAAGTGAAAATGGAAACATGGTATTTTCCCCTCCTGACCATCCTCAGTGCAGCGGTTTTTGACCCTGCACTTTCGGACTTGGGGTTGGAGGAGCAGAGGTGCTCCGTCGTCCCACTGACTTACTCTTTGTTTGAACAGTGAATGGTACAACGGGAGAAGGCCTGTCCCTGAGCATCTCAGAGCGTCGCCAGGTCGCAGAGGAGTGGGTGACAAAAGGGAAGGACAAGTAAGTGGCTGCATGAGGATAAAAATGCCCTTTGGCCTGTATTAAGTGAGCCTCTTCCCCAGAGGATACGCCCTCCCTGCTTTCTGGTCAGAGCTGGGGCTTGAGGTCAGCTGGTGGGAAGATGAGCAGGACCCCAGGGATCCTGGCTTCTTGGAGAAGAGCCCCCTCCCTTTGTGTGCAGAAGGGCAGCCAGAGTGCTAGACACACCTGCCATCCAGAGGTTCTGTTGGGAAACTGCTTACCTGTCTACGGGGCCAATCCCCTCACAGTTATCCGTCCTTGGGCTGAAGGATAAGAGGGGAGGGTGGTAATGGACTCTGCTGGTCACCTGGCTCTTCCACTGAGCAACTCACACCCCTTCCCTTCTCGGGATGAGTGCCTGATGCTTGTATTGGCCCACTTCTCCTTACAGGTCTCTATGCATCCGACTCAACATGCTCTTTTATGGTGCTTCTTCTTGTGCTCCTGGAGGACTTTCTGTAGTCCATAAACTTCCGTGCAGTGATATATTTTTGTAACACCCAATTCATGCCATGGTTGAACAAACAGGATAGTATCAGTTCCAAAAGCACTTCCAGTTAACTAAGTTTGTTTTTTTGAGATGGAGCTCACTCTGTTACCCAGGCTGGAGTGCAGTGGTGCGATCTTGGCTCACCGCAACCTCTACCTCCTGGCTTCAAGCAATTCTCCTGCCTCAGCCTCCTGAGTACTTGGGACTATAGGCACATGCCACCGTGCCTGGCTAATTTTTTTGTACTTTTAGTAGAAGTGGGATTTCACTGTGTTAGCCAGGATGGTCTCCATCTCCTGACCTCGTGATCTACCCCCTCAGCCTCCCAAAGTGCTAGGATTACAGGCGTGAGCCACCGTGCCTGGCCAACTAAGTTTTATTGATTTTCTGTTATGTTGTTATATGTTATGTACTGTGCTAGGCACCAGCAGTATAAAGTAAGGGCTCTGCCTTCAGGTTGCTGACCATCTGGTAGGGATGTTAGATCATGAAAACTAACACCCCAACCCTTCTGATGAATGTATAAACAAAAAGGGAGTGATTGATGTTGTCTTAGGTGGAAGTAAAAGAATAGAGGTAAGTTCCAAGTGAGCAGAGGTGGTCAGTATGAAGCCCATAGTGTCCCTGGGAATCCTTAATGGCTTCAGGGCACCTCCAGTACCTGAAATTATGTGCCAAACTTGAGTGCATATCCACGGAACCATTTTCTGGTGAGCCATCAGCTTTCAGTTAATTTTGTCAGATCTAGGGTCCAAAAAGATTAAGGACAGTGGGCAGAGTATGAAAACAGGAGGGCTAAGGGCACATATTAAGAACAGTACCAAAAATGAGGGACAGGGAAGGTAGGCAGAGACAGAAAGCCCTCAGAAGGTAGGAGGCCAGTCAGGAGTGAGTCCTGTCACTGCAACCAGGAAGAAGAATGATTTCAGAGACTGTCAGTGGAGCAGGGGCCATAGAGCCCAACTGCCTGAGTTTGAGGCCCAGCTCTGCTTTTTATTAGCGCTGGGAACTCAGGCATATCACCTAACTTCTGTGTGCTTCATCCCTAAGATAGAAGTAATAATAGTACCTCACTTATGAGGTTGTAGTGAGGATTAGAACAATGCCTGGCAGGCACAGTTCACTAAACACATTCACACTAATGTAAGAATTCATTGTAACTATTTGCAGTAGATGCTATGTTCATTATAACATTTGTTATAATAACTATTAGACGCCATGAAAGTCAGCACAGGAAAGACTGAGAAGACCACTAGGTTTGACACATCATAGGAAGTCACTGATGACCTCTGAAAGAGCAGGGCCAGTCAGGTTATTGCAGAGAAGCCAGACTGCAGTAAGTTACAGAATGCAACAGATATCTGCAAGTGGGGGCAGTGAGTGCAGCTGATCCTCACAAAAAGTTTTCTGGCAAAGGGAAGGAGAGATGGAGTAGTACATTAGGAAGGAAGGAATAGGCAAGATTGAAAGAAGCATAGTTTTGTTAAGTGGAAAAATGTTGAGCGTGTTTCTATGCTGAAAGGACACTGCCATGGGAGAAGAGATTAAAGATACAGAGAAGACCGGTAAACCTTGGCTGGGTACAGTGGCTTATACCTGTAATCCCAGCACTTTGGGAGACCAAGGCAGACGGATTGCTTAAGCCCAGGAGATCAGGACCAGCCTGGGCAACATATGGAGACCCTGTCTCTACAAAAAATAAAAAAAATAATTAGCCAGGCATAGTGGTATGCCCCTGTGGTCCCAGCCACTTGGGAGGCTGAGGCAGGAGGATCACTTGAGCCCCGGGGGCACAGAGGTCGCTGTGAGCCGAAATCACACTACTGCACTCCAGCCTGGGTGACAGAGCAAAACCCTTCTTTAAAAAAAAAAAAAAAAAAAAAAAAGTGGTGAATTGATACCTTTGATGGAAGGTCTTGGATAGGGGGTTTTGGCTAGGGATTTGAAATGTAGATGCTCCTTCACTGGTGATAGGATTACGTCCTGATGAATTGATCAGAAATTGATTCAACTTACAATTTACATTGAGTTTTAAAGACATAACCCTGTCATAAGTCAGGGAGTGTAATGATACTTTCACACCATCGTAAGGTCAAACCGTCATAAGCTGGGGACCATCCACACAACCCAAAGTAGACAGAGTAGCTTTAGAAGACAGCTGAAGGCCTGGCACAGTGGCTCATATCTGTAATCTCAGCACTTTGTGAGGCTGAGGTAGGCAGATCACCTGAGGTCAGGAGATTGAGACCAACCTGGCCAACATGGCGAAACCCCGTCTCTACTAAAAATACAAAAATTAGCTGGGCGTGGTGGCAGGCACCTGTAATCCCAACTAATCAGGAGGCTGAGGCAGGAGAATCGCTTGTACCCTGGAGGTGGAGGTTGCAGTGAGCTGAGGTCGCACCACTGCACTCTAGCCTGGGCGACAGAGCGGGCCGACGTCTAAAAAAAAAAGCAGCAGCAGCTAGGAGGAAAGCAAATGGTGATGTAGCCCCGTGCACAGGTGGAGAGGAGGAAGGGTAAGGGAGTTTGTAAAAGCTTCATCTTTGGTGTCTGGGACTCTAGGACATCTGCTCAGAACAAGGAGTTGGGTAGAATTTAGAGCTTGACAGGAATAGTCAAGATTTGGAGTAGCCACTCCAGATAAATGAGTCATGACAGCCAGAAGGCTTGTTGGAACCTCCTCCTGGATTGAGAGATTACTAGGAAATTTGTAATTTAAATTTCCAACAGTGGTAGCTGTGCCTAGCAGCCCAGGAGAACGAGGAAGAGCGAATGGATGATTGGCTTCACCTAAGCCAAGAGAAAGGGGTAGTGAAGGAAGGGGTCTTACAATAAAACTGCTGGTGAGAGTTCAACAGGTCAGTCAGCCCTCCTTTTTCCATTCAGCAGTCTTCTGTTACCCTTTAAAAATACAAAGCTGATCATGTCACTTCCCAGCTAGGTACTGTTTTACCTAAGACATAGCTAGCCAAGAACTCCTGGAGGACTCGGTGATTGGGCCTAAACAGGAATGTGGTGTCTCTGTCTCATGAGGGCATGTGTTTATTCAAGGTCCTTCAGAAGACTCACTGGGATGACTGCATTCACAGCTGAACATTATTAATCCCACTTTGAGAAGACCATTCTCACTGTGGCCTCTCCCCAGTTGGGAACATGGAGTACCCCCAAAAATGAACATCAGGGTGTCAGAGCAAATATCCCCTTTTGGCCAAATTCTGAGGAGATTTGCAAAGTAGGAAATTGCTTTTTATAGTGAATTCACTTCTCACAGGACTAGTTCCTGGTTGTATTCTTTGAGGAAACTCTTTATTTTTATCTCCAACCAAAAATATCTCAGTATCATACCTATCTTCATGCACGTATACCACCAAATACAGCATCTAAAACAATGCTTAACCAAAATAAGTACTCATGTATTGTTTAATCAGTTATTGCTTTTCAAGTTCTGTTTGGTTGAACCTTAAATTCTATTCCCTGAACATTTTTTAAAATCCCTAATGATTCTTTACTGTTTTCTATATTTTTACAGCATTAAAAGGCTCTATTCTTTTTTTTTTCTTTTTTGTTCTCCCAAACTTGTTTTTTTTCTTTAAGTCTCTATTCTTAAGGCTTAATAGTAATAACTGCTAATATTTATAAAGCATTTACTATGTCATGTACCATGCTGTGTTTTACTTGCATGAACTCACATAATCCTTACAATAGCCCTGTGAGACAGGTAATGTTATTATCTGAATTATTACAGGAATTGAAGTGTAAAGGTGTTAAGTGCCTTTCTGAGGAGTTCACAGCTGGTTCGTAACAGTCAGGATTCAAGCTCAAGACTCTAACTCTGGGATATAAGTTCTTAACACTATGTTGCACCACTTCCCAATTAGATTTCTTCCCTAGTGCTTGATTCACCATTGGCATCTTGATTTTTTAAAATTTACATTTGATCTAAGTCAACAAATAGTAGCCAATGCCAGATATATGCAAAGCACTTTTATATGCATATATGCAATATCATTTACGTATAAAAATCATATGTAATATCTAACACATAAAGTGATTCTAAACATGATTAAACTAGATCATTTACTTCCATTAGAATTTATTTGTTATTTCTTTTATTTTTATTTTTAATTATTTTTTGAGACATGGTCTTGCTCTGTTGCCCACCCTGGGGTGCAGTGGCATGATCTTGGCTTACTGCAGCCTCCACCTCCTGGGCTCAAGTGATTCTCCCACCTCAGCCCCCAAGTAGCCAGGACTACAGGCACACACCACCACACTTGGCTAATTTTTTGTATTTTGGGTAGAGATGGGGTTTTGCCATGTTGCCCAGGCTGGTCTTGAACTCCTGAGCTCGAGTAGTCCACCCACCTCAGCCTCCCAAAGTGCTGGGATTATAAGTATGAGACACTGCACCCAACCTAGAATTGATTTTTAAATTTTGTGTCTTTTATCACAACTTAGAAATGTTTTATGTAAGCATGTATATAAGATTAATTTCTACAGACTCCAATTTAAGATAATGGGCATGGACTAAATTATCTCTGTGATCCTCTGCCTCTAACTTAATGAGAGATGAATCCCATTTATGTACACGTTTAACAGTTTTCAGCATATATTTCTGCTGTTAGTGATATGAAACCTCCATGATACTGAATGAACATACCACCTTCCCACTGGCTCGAAATGAAGTCATTGCAGAAATGGCTGTATTCCTACAGAAAGGAAGAAATGGAATACCCTTTTAACCTTGCCTTTAAATACCTCCTCTGGGACTGAATATTCTCTGCTATGAAATCAGAATCATCCTAGACACGATCAAATCACAACCAACCTCTCAGTAACATGACAAGACTTTGATATCAATGACCTATGTTAAAAAGATCACCATAAGTCCCTTTAGGTAGATTAAATATATTGCTATAGAACTTAATAAGTGAGATTAATAAGGTGTCAGTTAACTGCTAAAACCAGCACAAACCAGGATAGTGCAGCCCTTCTGCATGCCTCTAAACTCTAAGCGATGCAGCAGTGTTTTTTTCTTTTGCAGGCTGGATCAGGTGGTAATTCACGTAGGAGCACTGAGCTTGAAGGAGTCACAGGAACTGGTATGTATGCAGCTCCATCTGGGAGAGACCACTCATGGGGCCTCAATTTTTATGCTGCAGTTAAAATCAGTACTATATTTGCTATGTCGTGGATGGTGTGCCTGAAAAGATAAGGTGTGGGATCTCAGGGGCTCACTGCCTAGAAGCAGGCATTGAGCCATGAAGAAAGGATTGTAGCTCTAGGTGATGATGACTATAGAATAGGAGATGGAGGCACCTTCCACCAAGGAGAGTAAGGATGGATGCAGCTGTAGCTGAGTTTGCAGGTAAGGAGCAGAACTGAGCCAATTTCAATTTTCTCTGTGAAGTAGAAGGCAGTGCCATCTGCAGGGCACAGATGGACAAAGTATAAAGACTTGAAGAATGGCAAATGTGAATTCTGCATTGGAGAAAGGGGGAGGGAGCTAAAACACAAAAGGATTGCTTGGTGGTACTGAAGACCAACTTAAGTTGTAAGTTATAAATTTGTCATACCACCCTTCAGCACAGTTGTGGAATTTTTTTTTCTGGGTACACTCTTTAGCCAGAATATAGGAACAAGAACACAGACAATTAGATTGCTCCAGCTTTAGGGATTAGCAGGTTAGGTGGAGCAGAAGCAAGACAGGAAGGGGTTAAATTTCCTGGCAGAAAAGCAGGTGGTATGGTGATTCTGAGGCCTGGGTGAATTGGTTAAGAAAAGAAGGCACACACTTTGGGAGGCCGAGGCAGGCGGATCACGAGGTCAGGAGTTTGAGACCAGCCTGACCAACATGGTGAAACCTTGTCTCTACTAAAAATACAAAAAGTAGCCGGGCATGGTGGTGGGCACCTATAATCCCAGCTACTCAGGAGGCTGAGGCAGGAGAATTGCTTGAACGCAGGAGGCGGAGGTTGTAGTGAGCTGAGATCGTGCCACTGTACTCCAGTCTGGGCAACAGAGCGAGACTCCATCTCAAAAAAAAAAAAAAAAAAAAAGCACAAAGATGTTCAAAATTGTTTATCAGAAGGCGCTGTACCTGGACTGCTACAAATTGACCAAGTTTCCAGAACTTAGATATATGACTTTTTCTGGCCCAGCTTCTTCTTAATGGATTTTGTTTGTTTTGGCTATTTGGATTTAAAAATGGGATGTATAATATATTTGCAAAAAATTGCAATTTAGTGCTTTAGGCAAGATGCAAAGGAAGATCTATCATTAGCCATAATAAGTGTGGAATCAGAATTTAGAGACTTGAATTATTCCTCTTACATTTGATTTGTTTCTCTTACAAAAGGTTTTTCAACTAAGGCAGTATGGTGTAGGGTATATTTTTCTTTTTTTTTTTCTCTTTTCAATTGCTTCTTTTCCAATGTATAATACAAATTTTAAAATATTATCATGTAATGATATGAATGACAGTATCATCCATTGGGCTGAACACCCAAATAGTATAGAAGTAGTTTTGGAATTAATAATCCTCTGGAATAGGGATAATCTGCTGGTACAGGGGTAGTCTTGCCAAAGAGACAGTAACATTGGCATCTTCTTAGCCATAACTCTTTATTGGATGATGCTTGAATGGACACTGCCATCAACTCTCTTAGGTGTTTCCTCTTTCCTTGCTTTCAGCTAAGGTTACTCTTCTGCTCTTTTTCTAAACAGAGTACTAATCAAATGATTTAAATATATCACATTCTGATCCTGTGTTAATGAAATTATTCCCAGTGCCTTAATTTGGCTATATCCCCATCTTCTCCTTTTAACTATTCTAGTTTACTTCTGCAGAAAGATAATCACGTCTATTAGATATAGATATTACAAGTCAAAGTCTCAGAAGGAAGCCCTTTTCCCTTTTTAGAGAGTAGGGCATGTTCCGAAACAATCAACAGCATCTGCTGGTTCCTTGCTATGTGCCAGGCACCATGATTGACCTGGACTCAAGGGTAAGCAAGATCTGAGCCCTGCCCTGAGGGACTTACACTCTAGTTGGAGGACAGTCACCATACACAACTGCCTTACAACCTGGTAGGTTTAGGTATTTTACTTGAAATAGATACATAGTGTTATAAGGGTCCAGCAAGAGGAAATGTTACTTTTTTCTGGAGGAATTTGAGAAAATATTAGAAATATGGGGCAAAGCATCTTCTGTGATATATATAATCTTTTCCTTTTCAGCATGTCTCAACTGCATTCCCAATCTAATATAAATTTTTAAATATGACTGTCACGTCATTGGACAGAAAAGACAGTATCAGCAATGGGCTAAACAGAAGAGAAATTACATCAGCAGATATCTCGAGTAACAGTTACAACTTATCAAACGACCTACTTATGTCTCCTTAGCAAGGTTTTTTGTGCTGACAAAATATGAAGTATAAGATTAAGTGCACAGCTCACCGTCATCAAGGAGCTCTACTTTGCGACCTGGGATTTTCCTGGCAATGACATTCATTAAATTTGGTTAATTTTCCCACTCTCCAGTGGTACATCAGTTGGCAAATTTGAAGAGCTTGTTACTGATCTTAGTATCTAAGCTATAGATGACTGTAGTAAATCACTTGTTCCAATATGGTCTTCTTTCTTCCTTTAAAGGCCCAACATGCAGCAGAAATAGGAGCTGATGGCATCGCTGTCATTGCACCGTTCTTCCTCAAGCCATGGACCAAAGGTAAGCAGATAGGCCTGAATGCATGGCACCTCACATGGTCCACTTCTTGCCTCCATTCAAAATGGTTATATTTAGTTTGTGAGAGTAAAGCACTATAGATTGGAGGCTTAAAGTTGCAAAGGTACAGTGGTTCTCTGAAATATTTGCTCTCCCTGGATCCATAAAAGGGACTGCATTAAAGTACTTCAGTTCTTTTGCCCAGTAATCGATCTGATTGGGTAATCTGCTGAGCCTCTGTTGATGGGTAGATGCCTATGTTTGGGTCAAGTGTCTGCTCCTGGACCAGTGAGTTGTATAGGGTGTCAGTCACATGGCAAAGCATGGGACCATTTTCCTTAGAAGAATATAAGTGATGGGCATTTTGAGACTACATATCCTATTCAAGGTCGAGTGAATGATGAATTTTAAGAGATTTCACAGAAATATTCATTGCCTTCCAAAATACAAAAGTATTGCTTTCTCTTTCTCTACTGTCTTCTCTGTGGAAACTATTTATGGTGTCTAAGTATACCAAGTCTTTTTAATCCTTTTTGATTAGCAAAAAAAGAAGTATAAATTTTAGAAGGATAAAAACAGACACTATTCGCCTACATGATTAAATAAATCCATAATTAAATGCATAATAGGTCTAATTCGTCATGAAATATCACCTATTATTGATACATAGAAAATAATTCATGTGAGTAAGCAATTTAATATTTATAAATTGCTAGTTTAAAATGAACATTTTTAAAGTTTTTAAAATTTTTTAAATTGTTCTTTAGAGATGAGGTCTTGCTCTATTGCCCAGGCTGGAGTACAGTGGCATGATCATAGCTCACTGCAGCCTCGAATTCCTGGGCTCAAGCAACCCTCCTCCATTGGCCTCCCAAGTAGCTGGAACTTACAGGCACGTACCACCATGCCAAGCTAATTTTTAAAAGAATTTTTGTAGGGACGAGATGTTGGTATGTTGCCTAAGATGATCTTGAATTCTTGGCCTTGATCCTCCTGCCTCAGCCTCCCAAAGTGCTGGGATTACAGGCATGAGCCACTGTGTCCAGCCCAACATTTAAAAATTTTTTCACATGGCTTTACAAATTTTTACATGAATATATTTCCTAAAAGGAAAAATAATGTATACATAATAATTTGTCAGAAATATTATCATAGACTGAATACACATCATAACAGTATTCAGATGACCTATATAAAATTCTCCTGTTACCCAGTGGCATCCAAAGCATGAGGAGTGCTGCTGGACTTATCATCTGCAGTAGCGTTGCAGGCAAAGCTCACGTGAGATGATGCAGGAAATGCCACTTCCTCAGCAAACCAGAGTGTGCTCTCTTTTGATGTATCTGGATTTCTCCCCAAAGGGAAAAGTACCAAATTTTGCTGGAATTCTTGCAAAATGTGCCACTATTCTTGCAAAATGTGCCACTACTCCTATAACTTCCCTCTTGAAGCAGATATTGTTTATCTTTTTGTTACAGGGTTTTCTCAATTAAAATCTTATTATTGTCCTAGAGTAGTCTCTGTTGTTTACTGTCCACACTTAGCCTTTTTGGGGTAAGAAGACAAGAGTTTCATGTGATGGACTTACATTTTTCATCATCATCTCTTAATATATGGGAAGGTTTTCATCAATTTTGTAATAGAGTTTAGTATGGTAGGAGAATAATCATCTTATTTTGGGCTTTCTACAGAAGGAAAATAAAACTTGAAGGAAGTGAGTTGCAAAAACATTGCAGTAGCAGTAGCAGGGATGGTAAGAGTGGTTGAGAATTTGAGGCTTCTGAGAAACATGGTTGTGTTTCATCAGATGATTTGTTTTTTTAACCAGGGAAAGCCACTGTTTTACACCTGTTCTCACTATGACTGTTCCTGCTGTTCTTTCAGATATCCTGATTAATTTCCTAAAGGAAGTGGCTGCTGCCGCCCCTGCCCTGCCATTTTATTACTATCACATTCCTGCCTTGACAGGGGTAAAGAGTAAGTACTGCTTCTTTTGATATTTCTTTCCTTCCAACTCTCACATTTTACCCTATTATGCTAAGAAACTCCACTCCATCCCACCCTACCCCATGCCACAAAAGCACACCACCACTGACTGGGCAGTTCCAGTTGCTTCTAAATGTCCCTCTGAAGTCCCAGCCCTTATCAATCATTCACACTGCTGTATAATGGAAGTTGTTAGGTATGAAAGGAAATCTGATCTCTGGGCACTTGTAGCACATACCTTTCGTCTTTACCACACACACCCCTTCTTCTTATTGAGAAGACGTGAGTCTGTAAGCCTCACTAGGAGAGGAGTGTGTCTACCTTGAACCTATTGTATTCTTAGTGCCTATAGCACATAGGAAAGTCCTCTGATCTCTTCTGACTTCTCTTCTAGCTTTTCTTTTGTTATTACTGTATTTCTCCAGAAAGAAGAGTTTTACAATTAGCTGAAATTTCTTAGATTATTTTTAAAATCCCACTCTTTTCTAAATTCCATTAGAGGAAAAATGGAGGCTGTACTTTATAAACATTCTGAAGGGAAAAAAAAGAAAAAAAACTGCTTTTCCTATTCTCTACTCTCATACTTAGCACTCAACACAAAACATTTTACCTCTGGCCACCAAAATGTGTGTGGGCATTTCTCCCCACCAACAACCAATTCTTCATCAGAGACGAAGTGAGTGTCCTCTAATTGGATTCAGTTCTGACACTGGCTACTGGAGTCAGCATTGAATCCCACAGGTTAAGGGCTTAGTCCCACAGGACTGCCCCCACTTCAATGCCAGTCTCAAGTCCCAGGTTGTGGCCTGTACTTCCTACCAGCTGGCTATAAATCAGGGTTCCAGTTACCTCCTCCTTGGGTTCAATTAATGTGCTATAGCAGTTTGCAGAACTCAAAGAAACACTTTACTTACTATTGCCCATTTATTACAAAGGAAACAGATAAACAACCAGAAGAAGAGATGCATAGGGTAAGATATGTGTGAAGGGGCATGGAGTTTCATGCCCTCTCTGAACAAGCCATCCTCCAGGCACCTTCATGTGTTCAGCAACACAGAGTCCCTGTCCTTTTGAGTTTTTATGGGGGCTTCATTATGTAGGCATGATTGAGTACATCATTGGCCATGGGTGATCGACTCAATCTTTAGCCCCGCTCTCCTCCCCAGAGGCCAAGCGTGTGACTGAAAGTTCCAACCCTCTTAAGTACATGGTTGGTTCCCCTGGCAACCAGCCCTCATCCTGAGGCTATCTAGGAGATCTAGTCATCAGTAAACTTTGTAGCATACAGAAATATACATATCACTTTGGAGATTCCAAGGGGTTTAGGAGATTTGTGTCAGATGCTCTTATCTCTCAGGAAATTACAAAGGTCTTGGGAGCTCTGTGTCAGGAATAAGGGTCAAAGACCAAGTGTTAGAATAAAATACTCTCCTAGCACCCCTGTCTACAAGGGTTTTAGGTACTTTGTCTCAGGAACCAGGGACTAAGACCAAATATATATTTACACTTCACAAATATCCATCTACTGCCTTCAAGGAATGGGAAGTTTAGGATTATAATTGGACAAGTACATAGGAGCTGCTAGTCAGGGAGAAGTGATTAGGCCTAGTCTGCAGTCAGTTCTGGCTGACAGCAGCTTGTGGCAGCTCACTGCAGATGCGTGGCACTATATGAGATGTTATTTCCTGGAGATGTGCAGATTGATGAGGTGCTTATTATTTTGAGCAGTTCGTGCTGAGGAGTTGTTGGATGGGATTCAGGATAAGATCCCCACCTTCCAAGGGCTGAAATTCAGTGATACAGATCTCTTAGACTTCGGGCAATGTGTTGATCAGAATCGCCAGCAACAATTTGCTTTCCTTTTTGGGGTGGATGAGGTAAGTCACCCCCTAGCATGTTGCAGCAGGTCAGTTCCCTCCAAAACAATTTGTGTAGATATTTATATAGTAGCATCTCTTTTCTTTCTCTTTTTTATAAAAGTGAATATTCTTTGTTTCTGATTAGCAACTGCTGAGTGCTCTGGTGATGGGAGCAACTGGAGCAGTGGGCAGGTAAGCATGACTCATTTTTCCCAATGATTATAAAGTCCCCCATAAGGGCATTCATCACCAAAGTAGCTATATTTCTTTTGTTGTTGTTGTTGTTGTTGAGACAGAATCTTGCTCTGCTGCTCAGGCTGGAGTGCAGTGGTGCGATCTTGGCTCACTGCAAGCTCCACCTCCCGAGTTCATGCCATTCTTCTGCCTCAGCCTCCCCAGTTGCTGGGACTACAGGCGCCCACCACCATGCCTGGCTAATTTTTTGTATTTTTTTAGTAGAGACAGGGTTTTACCGCGTTAGCCAGGATGGTCTCGATCTCCTGACCTCGTGATCCGCCCACCTCGGCCTCCCAAAGTGCTGGGATTACAGGCATGAGCCACCACACGCGGCCCAAGTAGCTGTATTTCTTACATGTGTATCCTTTCTAATAGAAGTTTCCTTTCTTTTCCTCATTCTTCCAGTGAAAGGGAATTAAATAGTGCTTAGTTGTTTGTTAGAAATTCAGTCATTGGGCTGGGCATGGTGGCTTACGCCTGTAATCCCAGCACTTTGGGAGGCCAAGGTAGGCGGATCACTTGAGGTCAGGAGTTTGAAACCAGCCTGGGCAACATGGTGAAACCCCCTCTCTACTAAAAATTTTTAAAAATGGGCCGGATGCAGTGACTCATGCCTGTAATCCCAACACTTTGGGAGGCTGAGGCAGGTGGATCACGAGGTCATCAGTTTGAGACCAGCCTGGTGAAACCCTGTCTCTAGTAAAAATACAAAAATTAGCTGCCAGTAATCCCAGCTACTTGGGAGACTGAGGCGGGAGAATTGCTTGAAACTGGAAGGCGGAGGTTGCAGTGAGCCGAGATCGCACCACTGCACTCTAGCCTGGGCAACAAGAGTGAAACTCTGTCTAAAAAAAAAAAAAAGAAGAAGAAGCCAGACGTGGTGGCAGGCACCTGTGATCCCAGCTACTTGGGAGCTGAGGCATGAGAATCACTTGAACCCAGGAGACAGAGGTTGCAGTGAGCTGAGATCGAGCCACTGCACTCCAGCCTGGGTGACAGAGCAAGACTCCATCTCAAAAAAAAGAAAAAGGATAAAAAAGAAATTCAGTCATTGTTTAGAAGCATCTGTTGCAGTTAGAGGTGAGACACATGAGCACATGAATTGAGCACATGCACAGGGCCTAGACCTTAGCGGGAACTGACGCTTAGTGCTATAGACCCTGGTGACCAGGGTCTCAAGGATGATCTCACACTTTGTGAGTTCTATCTTTGTCAGAAATTATTTGGTTGCAAGTAACAGAAACCCATTTAAACTACCTTATGTACAAGAAGACACGTTATTATAAAATTCTGGGAAACCACATAGGGCCCAAGAGGAGGATGTAAAACCAGGCCTCAGAGAAGATGAAAGCCAAGAACTGCAGAATCTCAACCGCCAAAGCAGATTATCTTCCATATGTGGTTTTTTGGAGAGACTCACCGCTACATCTTTCTGCACATCTCTTTATTTCTCTTCTCTCTCTCTGTATCCAAATGGGCTTTCTCTGCTTCAGCATGCACATGGCCAATCATGGCTGCCCAAGCGTGGCATTTTGGGACATCATTAGATAGCACTGCCTAGGCAAGTGTCCGTGTCAGGTCCAACCAGAATCATGTGGCCCAATGCCTACTTAGCAAAAGACAGGCAATTCAATTAGCATGTCCACTGCACATGTTAACTTAATTCATTAGAATATGCTTCCAAGCAGATTGAATTAAATGTTTGCATTAACTGAAAGATACCAGGGGAGCAAAATAACATTTATAACATGTCTTGGTGAGCCTGGCTGTGAGGAAGAGTGACTGAGTTGAATAATATAAATGGCTTGTTCACCAAGCCAAGATGGCCTATGACAGCCATTGTAACTACAGGGCTATTTCTACTGAGGAAATTTGAATGTTGTATTTGCTGACCACATGTGTTAATTCATTCTCACATTGCTATAAAGAAATAACTGAGAAACGTATAAGAAAAGAGGTTTAATTGGCTCACAGTTCTGCAGGCTGTGCAGGAAGCATGGTAGCGTGTGCTTGGTTTCTGAAGGAAACTTTCAATCATGGCGGAAGGCTAAGCAGGCACATCTTACGTGGCCAGAGCAGGAGGGAGGAAGTGAGGTGGCACACACTTTTAAATAACTGGATCTCACGAGAACTCACTATCGCCACAATGGCACAAAGGGGGATATGTTAAACCATGAGAAACTGCCCCTGTGATCCAGTCACCTCCCACCAGGCCCCACCTCTAGCACTGGGGATTACATTTCAACCTGAGATTTGGGCAGGGACACAGATCCAAACCATATCACCATTAAACCTTTTTCCGCCTGGAAATTCTTACTTTTTTGGCTCCTGCTTTTTGGCCTCTATACAAAGCATTTTAATTCTGTCAACATAATCTATAAGGCAAGTACATTTGGTTAAACTTCATTTCTCCCTAGCTATAATCACCTTTCTGTCTAACCAAGGATAAACCTAAGACCACTGGGATTCAAATTTTAGTATTCTGAAGCTCCTCAGACATTGTTCTTCCTTACTGTATTACCAGAAGATAACCTGAGCTTCACAGTCCTGGAATTCCTTGCTGTTGACCCCGGTTCTATATATATAAGTCCAACAACATTTCTGTTATTGGTACATCAAGATAAATACATTTCCTGATACCGACTTACTATGGGAGAAGCCATTTGAATTTAAAGAACTTGGGGAAATGTCCTTATTATGAGTTTCTATAACCTTTTACCTTGCCGGTTTCTCTAAGAATTCAGCAATTTATTTAAGATATTTATAGGTAGAGTTGGAGAGTTTTATAAGTCCACAAAAATATTTTGTCAGATCAAATAACTATTCTCACCTTCATTTTTGTTGAATTGTTATAGAAGACAACACGAAGCAATGGAAAGTTTTCGTGGAAACTCTGAAGCCATTCTTTAATCAAAATAAAAACCAGGCCTACCTTGCAGGGTTTTACAAGGATTAGACATAATTTATGTCAAGCCTATAATATAATAGGCATTTAGTAAATGATCCCTCATTTTATTATCATTATTATTAATATTACTATCTAGAAACTAGTTTTTAAGTAATATACACATTAGCAAGGAATATGGGTAATTTGTTAGGATTTGCCCCTGTTTTCATGGTGCTCCATCCACCCAGTGTTTCAGCATAAGGCTTTTAGGACTAACCTCAGATGCTACATTTTATCCACAGTTCTTGTCTAGCATTGCACCTGTGTGTACCCTAGGGCAAGAGCTGGCCTCAGTCGCTTGCTAGCAAATACATCTCCATTTTTTTTCCTTTATCTTTTTTCCGCTTTTCTTCCTTTATCCCCTTTTGTCTCAATCCCTTCTCTGCAGTACTGCTTAGTATTGCTGGAAAACTCAGAACTGAAGACAGTCTGATCCCCTAATAGATGAGGACCCAAAAACAGACTTTAGGAGGACTAGGTGTATTTTTTCCCTTTTAAACAGCAGAGGGATTTGAAGATCTGGACCTTTCGTGTTGAGTTATTGAACCTGCAGTATTTGTTATTGTCTTGCCAGTACCTATAACTACCTGGGAAGAAAGACAAACCAGATGTTGGAGGCTTTTGAACGAAAGGACCTCTCTTTAGCCCTGAACTATCAGGTAAACGTTTTCTTCCCTTCCCATAAATCACAGCCTTTTTTCTTCCCCACTTGAGGATTCTTTTTCTTCTCTCTACCATGCCTGCCCTCATTAAAATCGCCCAGCTGCCTCTTTCTTTACCTTTCTTCTGTTTTGTACTTTTTCTTGTCTAAAACCAAAGAAAGCTGTCCCCATTTTCTGTGTTCCCGACATGTCTAATCAGGACAGGACCCATACAGGGATGACTCCTCTCTTCCTCCTAGAAAGGATCTTATTTTACTCTATCTTCAAAGTACTTTTGTGACTATAATATAATGGCCATAGATTTCTGGGAAAATGACCACAGGCTGTCCCCTTGAGGACATCACACCAGAGTTATCACAGAATATGAGGAAGCTATGAAGATGGTAACCTAAAATGGGGAAGGCTTCATTCAAAGTCAGGGCAGGTCAGTCTTGTTCACCCTGGAAATGTGCTGAGAACTAGAAACATCCACCAGGAAAGAAATAAGAGCCTAGTGGGTGATCCAAAGTAGATACAGGATTTGAAACAGGAAGAAAAAACCAGCAGAAGCTGATATGTTGCTGGGAAGACTCCAGAGGACATAGTGGCTGCTGTGAATGTTCCATGGAGGATAGCCTAGCCATCCAGGGAAAGAAGAGCCTCAGTTGAAGGGTAGAACAGTCTCAACAACTGGTTCTTTTTTATTTAGAGATAGGGTTTTGCTCTGTTGCCCAGGTTGCAGCTCAGTGATGTGATCATAGCTCACTGCAGCCTTGAATCCTCCTGGGCTCAAGCAGTCTTCCTGCCTCAGCCTCCTGAGTAGCTGGGACTACAGGCATGCGCCACCATGCCCAGCTAACATCTGGTTCTAACACATGGTTCTAAAGTGTAAATGGAATGAAGTGGCAGAAAGTAGGGTAGACATGAGAGCAAGACTTTTGGGGTCTGAGAGGCATGAGGATTTTCAGGATAGTATAAGTGGTTGAGAGGTGTATCCCAAGAAAATAAGTGGGAATGGAAAGACGTGACTGAAGCAAGTGGTTGGTCCTAATAAAGCTTGGCTGTGGGATCTTTCTGAACAGGACAGGCTGCCATCAGGGTATTCAGAGATTACAGATCAGAAGTACAAAGCATGCTGGGGGTTAAAGGGAGTGACCTGCAGCCCCAACCCAGAGAGAACATGAAGAAGCAGAATCCAGAGTGGTTAATTACTCCCTACCCATAGGCCTCAAAGTTGAGCCATCATAAATCTACTTCTTCCTTAAAGTTTAAATACTATATGTAATATTCGCCTTTGTCTATCCTCAGACCAGCTGAAACTAAGAACAGGAACAAGGTAGGGATCTAGGAAGCTATGCCAAATCAACTAAACATTGACAAGACTTTGGTTTAGATAAGGGTAAGAAGAATAATTGTGCATACTCTGCCGTCTCCTTGCACTGATGGTTCCTGCCACCCTGCCCAGTTTCCTAGAAAAGTGATTTCTGAAAATTCTAACCTGTTCTGAGCAGAACAGGGAAATCACAGATAGAGTAGACTGAAGCAGCTATAATGTTGACCCTTCCATTCAATGGCTTCTCTTACTGGTTGATCCAGTCTCCATCTTTTTTTCCCTCTTAGTCCCACTCTAAATAAAACATCCCATTGAAAACGACGTTGGTAAGGAACTTAGTTTATCACATTCTCTGTTTCTTCTTAAGAAGGCACGTGTGAGTGAGTCTTATTTACTCAGTACATAATTTCAGTGAAGGTGGTTTCTGCTCTTAAAGAGCTTTTAGTCAAGTGAAGAAGCAGACGAAAAGTTAGGGCTAAATTGATCTCATTCACTTTAATGTACTTAAGTGCCCTCTGTTCTATTTACATGAGTGAAATTACAACAACCTGCACCTCCATTTCACACCAATTCTTATGCTCATCAATTTTAGAAAACAGCATTTATGGAAGTTGAGGATCTAGAAATTGATTCCCATAAATCTTAGCCTTGGCCACGTGCTCCTTAGGCATCCTGGAAGGTACCCCAGAGCTATATGTACCCAAGTTTAAAAACCACTGCACTAACTGATAAGTTTACCTATGTAAGCCAGATGGATAAGGGGCGTGATTCCCATCTTTACTGTCTTGTAGAATTCCATCATTGAAGCTTCTTTTCTGCACGAGCCCATTCTGTAAAGCCTACATGTATGAAAAGATCTTACCTTAGCCTGGATGGATCCCAGTCATCTTCACTTGGCTATTTTTCTCCACTCTGACAGACCTTTAGTAAATGAAGGTGTGCAGACTTTTTAGGGTTTCTGTAATTTGACTTCTACCTTATTTACATTGTTTACACAGTTCAATAATACTAACTATAGATATGTTTGTTCTTTTCTAGTTTTGTATCCAGAGGTTTATCAACTTTGTGGTCAAACTAGGTAAGTGCCACATGTCTCCTGCTTTGTTTGCTGCTGGAGACTGTAAAGAAAATGGAATACCGTCACTTTCTCTGAGGGTTCAACAAGAACACCTTTTAATGGTCTACTGTAAGCAGAGTTCTGTTTCCCTTATTAACCCTCAGGGCCAACTATATAAAACTGTGAAGTAAACCTAGTTGGAAAATCTTTGGCAGCCTTCTCCATTTTAGCACATACTTACCCCATTTTCCATTCTTTCTCTCCTAAAGCGTCAGCACTCCCTCCCTTTACTTGCCTCTGCTTATTAAAATTCTACTACTGCATTGAGGTTGATTTCAGCCTAAGTGCTTGGAGGAAGGCAGTCTAAATACAGATCTTACTAAATTGTGAATGATTGACAGCTCTCCCAAGAGTATTTACAATTTAAACGGAGTTTATTAACACAAGTAAGCTTAAATGGATAGAGCTTTGGATAATATGACAAAGTAAAATTGGGGAGCAGTGGTGGGGAGAAATACAGTGAATTTCAGTAGAGAAACCTCTCCAGAGTGTCTTAAATCTCCCATAACAAATGACAAATGCCACCATCCACTCTTATTCTGCAAGAGATTGGCCCTTGGGCCAATCGAATCTGCGTTAATGCAGGACAATTTTTAAGTTTATTTTTGGCGGGCCTCCCTGCTCTCTGTCAGAGTTCTGCATAATCCTGGCAACTCCTCCCTCTCCCCCAAGCACTTCTTGTGTGTTATGCCCCTCATTCTTGTAGGGTTCTCAACCCGCTCTCTTACTCCCTCAAGGGCATTCTGTTTGTTTTTCCACTTTCATGATTTTTGCACATTTGTGTGCCTCCAGTGCTATGAACCACCTGTTGTTCCCTTGTTCTAAGCAGTGTTTTCACAAAATTGTGGGTTTGGTGTGATAATTATTATGTTCCTAAAGTACATTAAAATAGGTATTGAACTATTAAAATTTTAGACAAACTAAAAGATTGATGTGTGCAGTAGTCCCCACTTATCTCAGGGGGATATGTTCCAAGATGACCAGTGGATGCCTGAAATTGCAGATAGTACGAAACCCTACATATACCATGTTTTTTCCTATACATACATACCTATGGTGAAGTTTAATTTATAAATTAGGCATAGTAAGAGATAAACAGTAACTAATAATAAAATAGAACAATTATAACAATATACTGCAATAAAAGTTATATGACTGTGGTCAGTCTCTCTGTCTCTCAAAATATCTTATTATTTTTGGACTGCAGTTGACCACAGGTAACTGAAACCATGGAAAGTGAAACTGCAGACAAGGGAGGCCTACTGTATATTCAATCATGCTAATATTTTCCTTCCCAATGCTCAGTTTTTACTGTAACTAAGTTAACTTAGCAAAAGAAAGTTAGTTCTTATATCTTGAATCTGAAAGCAATAGCCAGCTAAGAAAACAAATTACAGACATTTTAGAAGATGGGGATTGGGGATTATGATGGATAATTATTAGTTATGCTTTTTACATATTAACAGTGTACCTGATCTTCCATCTGCCTCTTCAATCTGAAGGCTTTGTCTTTCTTTAGTTCTGAAAAAATTCTCTGTTATCCGTAAAGAATGTTTTGACTGCATTTACTCAAATCTGTGATTCTGAAAGTCCATTAGTTGTATTTTGGATTTTCTCAATCTGTATCTCAATTTTAAAAAACATATTTAACATATCTTTCTCTGCTGTATTCTGGATTATTTCCTTAGCTCTACCTTGAAAATCACTAATTCTTTAGCTACGTTTTTACTGTTTGATTTCCCTAAATCTATATTTTTTTCAATATTTCTTGTTGATTGTTTTATACTCTACCATTCTTCTCGTAGCCTATGACTTCTATTCCTCCTTTTATCTCTGAGAAGTCTCTTTCAGAATTTTCTGTCATCTACTCTTAGGATGTAAGTTTTGTCATTTTTGAACGTGCTAGTTCTCATGCTGCTGCTTATCCTCATGCACTTTGTAATTTTTAGCTTTTCAGCTCATCTTCAGAGACCATTGTTTTCTGGGTAACCCACTGAACATTAGGTTGTAAGGTACCCTATCAAGTGGGTTTACATTTGCTTCTGCTAGGACACTGTAGTTCAACCAGTTCTAGCCAGTCTTTGGGTTAATTTCTTAGTATAGTACCTATACTAAGTGTGTAACGTACATTGGGATCCATCATTCACCTTTGGCTCAGGCTTGAGATTTCTTTCATGAGATCATTTCCATCCACAAGCCTAGTAGAAGTGAAGCTTTCTTCCCTATCCCCAGACCAGTGGGCTGGGTTTTTTCTATTGCTTTTCATAGAAGGCTGACTACCGGTTTTACATAGGGAGTTTAATTCCAGCTTCTCACCATGCACAGATCTAAGGCTTCATTTTCCATTCCCATCCCAGCCGTATAACACCAGCATGAAAACAGCAGCGTTGAGTCATAAGCCACCTTAAGTACTGCATTTCTCAGGGACTTCCTAAATAAACTTAAACTAAATTTCATCCTGGCAATAAAGTCCTACCTCCTTTGATCAACAATAGTATATTCCTAAATCGGATTATCCTCAAGGGCTGTTTGGCATCAGCTTCTCCTCACCTTTCTGACCTCTTTATTCCTGATACCTTTGGCTTCTCCTTCTTGGGTTTAAGATTAACCTTGAGTCTTCGTTTTCTTTTGCTGTGATCAACTTTTAAAATTTTCCAGCGTTTCTATGTGTTTGAAGCAGGAAGAGGGATTTCAAATGATTGCTCATCTGTCATATTGACTAGAAATGTTCCCAACTTTTGTTTTAATCTTACCTTGTTGTAGTAGTTGCTGTTAGCATATGATCTCCTTCTTTGGGATGTTTGTGGAGAGACAGACAGTACCAGTCATGTTTCCTAATTTATTTTTCCTGTCTAGGTTTTGGAGTGTCACAGACCAAAGCCATCATGACTCTGGTCTCTGGGATTCCAATGGGCCCACCCCGGCTTCCACTGCAGAAAGCCTCCAGGGAGTTTACTGATAGTGCTGAAGCTAAACTGAAGAGCCTGGATTTCCTTTCTTTCACTGATTTAAAGGATGGAAGCTTGGAAGCTAGTAGCTAGTGCCTCTCTATCAAATCAGGCTTTGTACCTTGAGACATAATCTACCTTAAATAGTGCATTCTTTTCTCAGGGAATTTTAGATGAACTTGAATAAACTCTCCTAGCAAATGAACTCTCACATCAATCGACAAGCATTGAGGTACCTATTGTGAGCCTTAAAAAGTCTTACTTTGTGAAGGGGCAAAAACTCTAGGAGTCACAACTCTAAGTCATTCATTTCACAGATTTTTTTGTGGAGAAATTTCTGTTTATATGGATGAAGTGGAATCAAGAGGAAAATTGTAATTGATTAATTCCATCTGTCTTTAGGAACTCTCATCTCAATTTCTGGTTCCTAATCCTATTTTAAAGTTGTCTAATTTTAAACCACTATAATATATCTTCATTTTAATAAATATTCATTTGGAATCTAGGAAAACTCTGAGCTACTGCATTTAGACAGGCACTTTAATACCAAACTATAACACGTCTCAATTATATACGACTCGAAATACACCAGCTCATCTGGTTGCTCTGTCTAACTCTAGAATGGATGCTTCTGAATTCATTTCGATGTCACCACTTTCCTCTCTTCAGAAACGTTGGGTCAGGTGAGGACTTGTTTCAGTTCCTATAACTCAGTAAAGGGCAGCTTTCTCATAACAAAGGAAAAGGTCTTCCCCAAAGATGAATTTAAGTCTCTACTTTTTGCTATACAGAAAACTCAAAGTTTCAAAGAACCAAAGGGCTCTTCCTCTAGGCACCACAATCTTCCCCTTTCTCCACTGAGAAGACTGTCTCTCCCACAGGACCCTGAATTATTGAAATCAAAGGCCGACTTCCTTTCTGCAGTGAGCCCAGAGGCTACTGTTACTATCCTGTCACACTTGCAACTAGTTACTTTTCTTTAGTGATAGAAGATTTGGGGAGGACCCAAAGGACTCACAGCTTTCTCTCCATACCTCCTTTTACTCTTTTCTTTCTGTGTAACATATCAACAACTGTTTAATCTCCCTTCTAACAAACCTTGATGTAAGCTTTCTGATATCAAAGTATATTGACAGTTAACCCTTACTGATTTTAAACTTGACTATCCAGTCTGTTAATTACCTAAGATTTTGTTTTCATTTCATCTCTAATTGTTTTGATCATTGGCAGAGAAAGAGTATTTGAAATTCATATCAGTTTTGCTCCTTATTTTAATCTCTTTGAATTAAAAATAATACTTTTTCAAAATGCAAATTTGAAATTATAAGTAGACTTCAATTATCTTTGCTAATCCTCTCTTTAATTAACTAGTTAAAAGTTGTTATATTTATATATCCTCAACTCTCTTTTTGCCTTTTTAGCTGTTAATTTCCTGAAAGAAGAAAATGAGTTTTTGTTAGTTTTTGGTTCTGAGGATGTGATATCCTTACTTAATGATACTAAAGCCAAATTTAAATTTTAAAATTAATTCTTGGGTATCCAATAAACAAAGAACTATTTTTCTATTTTTGCTTTTGTGAAGTCAGTGCTTAGAGGATTTTTAAGATGGTTAATGAGCCTTTGTGAACATAAAGAGAGATATGATTTTAAAATGGCCAGGTCTGAGTTTAGCTCTGTTAACATCCAGTAGCTTAGAAATGAATATCATATAGCAGTAGGCTATTAATAGTGCACTTAACAAGTAAAATTTTGGAATACTATGAACTTATTGTTTTGTTTATAATATATTCCTAAATTGTTTTTAACATTAAAACTACAGTAATGGCATGTGAAATATTTCATTCAACACAGTACTAAAAGCTGATTTCCAACCTCTTTGTTTCAAGATAGAAATCTGAGATCAGTCCATTGGGGATGGTTGGAGGGACAGGAGTGATTTTAGGAATTGGTTTTACTTAGGATCTCTCTTGGGTTTATTCAAAGACATAGGAAAATGCCATGGGGGTGAGGTGGCAGTAGGGTGGGGGGCAGTGGGAGTAATGTATATTTTTTCCTAGAAGGGTTATTTGTCACAACTTGAGATAAATTTCTTCTTTCTGATCACCTGAAGGGCACGGAAAATCCAAACTCTTAGGAGGCTGATGTCTAAGGCTGGGTTGAGGGACTTTGCGTAGTGACTGCAACCCAAGCTTAGGTACCCACCTGAGCTCACCAAGGCTTTTCATACAGGGGAAATGGAGTTGGATCTACAAACCCATCAAATCAAGTAGAGGAAACAACACATCCAAGCCATTTAACCATTCCCTTATCACATGCTGACTCAACCCTCAATTTCCTCCAGTGAAAGTAAGAGGGAAACTTGGAACCAAAATTATGCAAATAGCAGAGCTAAGCCCCAGGTAGAGGCAGAGCACTACCTCACACTTTGGGTTTCTGGGGCTGAGAAATGGCTATCTGGGTGAACAAGAAAACCCAAATCGTAGTTTCTCTGTGAACCCCCTTGGTGACTCTTAGGAAATTATTTGATATATGATACATTTTAGCATTTTAAGTTACACAACCAGAAGGAGAACCCTAAAGCATTTTCTTAAGTCTTAATCACACAATTAATAAATATAATGGAATGGATTCAACAAAATACATAGAGAACTATATCCAACAGGATGTGTTACCTTTATCTGTAGACCAGTTACAGAGAGTGTTGAAGTTTTATTCCAGAGGGACCACCAAAGGGGATTATACATCAATCACACGTTCACCTCTGATATGTTTTCTCTGATATATTCTGCTAGAATGCCCTTCATGAATATCAGCGTCCCATGTTTGAGCCAGATGTTGGGTTAGGCCCTATAGGCATGGAAATTGTCACAAATGCCAGCCTTTGGTGTGAGAGACAAGCCTTCTCATCTATCAGCAAGCACACAAAACAAGGTTATCTTTGAGGTCATGGGGAAGTGGGTTCCCACAAGTGGGCAAGTACATCAGCATCTCAGTATGGTCTACAGTCCAAGTCCAGTTTGCACCATTTTAAAGTTATCCTACCTCAGGTAGAAGGAGGTGGGATAATGACCACATACTACATTCTTGAGAATCCTCAGATTAGGGTGAAACAAAGTGATCCACCCTCAGAGCTTGAATGAGTGGGCACATTTAATGTATGTTAGTGAGAGTGGCAAATAATATTCACAGGCTGTTTTAGTTCATTCTCATGCTGCTAATAAAGATATATCTGAGACTGGGTAATTTATAAAGGAAAGACGTTTACAGTTCAGCATGGCTGGGGAGAAGGGGGAGCAAACACATCCTTCTTCACATGGCGGCAGCAAGGAGAAGTGCCGAGCAAAAAGGGGAAAAGCCCCTTGTAAAACCATCAGATATCGTGAGAACTCACTCTCATGAAAACAGCAGCATGGGAGTAACCACCCTCATGATTCAGTTAACTCCCATCAGGTCCCTCCCACAGCAGATGGGGATTATGGAAACTATAATTCAAGATGAGATTTGGGTGGGGACACAGCCAAACCATATCACAGGCCTAGCTGGTCTTAGGTTGCAGTTACTATCTGAACTCCCCTGAACATTGACCAATTAGTATTGTCCTTTTCCTAAGGTAATAACCTCAATCAGATTTGACTTCCCAATTTGAGCAGAACTCCAGAATCATTCAATTAAAACACTAAATATATTCTGCCTTTAGCTCTTTCATTTGTCTATATAGAACTGTACCTATCTGTGTATCTCTCAAGATCCTTCAATATGGCCAGAGGAAAGTGGTGGGGGATGGAGGTGCAGAAGAGGGACCAATTTCCACAAGGTGGTAAGAGGGGGCTTCTCTAGGTCCATTACACTTAATATGAAATTAGAATGTTGGAAAGAAACCAGTCAGGTGAAGAGTAGCAGAGGATGCATTCCAGGTGGTAGGACCAACATATTTGACAGTTCTGAGCCATGGGAGAGTCTGGAGTGTGAAGAACTGAAGAGAAGCCAATGAATCAGAGCTCAGACACCAATGAGAAAGAGTAGGAAGTGATTAATGTAAAGCGACTGCAAAGGAGCCAGCTCCTGTAAGGTGTTGTAAGCCACAGGAACATTAAACTCACAGTGTTTTTCTGTGCTGTAAATTTAAGTGCTATAAATTTAGAGTGTAAAATAACTATAGGCCCCCCTAAAGACTGAAAAATTGGTAAAGAAGGAAGAAAGTTTACAACAAGCCTTCATTACATTATAGTTTGTAAATAAACTGTCTTTATTATTTCAACTTGTTTATATAAGTTTATCTCTGGTAAAATTGATTTTTTTGGTCTGAATTTGTTTTCTTGGGTTTACACAGAATGCATCATGATTTTCCAGTGAAAATATTATTTTCATTTAGTGGCTTTTCACTTAGCAGTAGGGTTTTCAGGAGTGAATTAAACGTAATAACGAGGAAAAGGTATATTTCTATTCGGCAACAGATAATTCTAGTATCTAAAACATTTATAGATATAATTCTGTCAGTTTTCTTTTTCTGCTGGCACTCAACTCATTGGACTTTATTTGTTTTTTAAAAACAGAGACAGGGTCTCACTATGTTGGCCAGACTGGTTTTGAACTCCTGGCTTCAAGTGATCCCACACCTCAACCTCCCAAAGTGTTGGGATCACCCACATGAGCCACTTATACCCTGCCACTCATCAGAGGTAAAGATCCTCACCTGTTTTATGATTTTTTGAACTTGAGCTTATGTTCAGTGGAATTTTATAGGAATTATTTGAGGTCTGGATAGAAGACTATTCCACCAAAGAGAATATAATTTTAATCCTTCTGAGTGATTTATTTCCGCTGATTAATAAGCACTTTAAATAATTGACTTGAGGGTTTTTTGGATATCATAGGAAATGAGTCTTTTTTTTTTTTTTCCTACCTAGCATCTAGTTTTTGATAGACAAGTTTCCTTATTCCCCTCTTCTGGTTGGTTTGGTTTTTCATTGTTGCTATTGTTGTTCACTTTTCACTGAAGATATAAGGCATTCTGGCTTATGTGTAGGTCTCCTCTTAGCCTCTGCATGTTGGGCAGTCTCTTTTGTCTCCTTTCTCCTAAGCTCCAATGCAGCTTTTATTAAAAGGAAGCTCAAGTTCATTAAAAATCAGCAGACCCTTTCAGAGTAGGTGCTTACGTCAGGGTTCTTTTGCCTCTCTGGATTCATTCATTCACTTCATTAATGTTTACCTCTAAAGCATTTTCTTTCTTGGCAGCACAACAATGCATTTTTTTATTGTATTCAACATTTTCTGTTTTCAATGGTAAGTTTATTTAGGGCATCTCCATTTTTTTCAAGCTTTTGGAATCTTTTGCTTTCAATTCGTCTTTTAAAGACAGCAAATTTATATTTTGCTACAGGTTCCACTCTGAGTCATTTTCTCTTAATAGATTATTATGTCCCATTTACCTTTATTGAAAATCTTTCTAAAGTAGTTTGTAGAGGGAAACATTAATTTGTTCAGGTAAATAAATACAGTAATTCTATACTAGTATCCAGTAAGAAATTATAAATTCTAGATATGTGAAACTAATTAACACTGGAAAAAAGTAAAACCCCATAACCTTATAGAAATGTGTTCTTGTGGTGGCTCATGCCTGTAATCCCAGCACTTTCAGAAGCTGAGGTGGGAGGATCAGTTGAGGCCAGGTGTTTGAGACTAGCCTGGGCAACATAACAAGACCCTGTCTCTACAAAAAGAAAAGAAAGACATGTATTAGTCTCAGTAAAAGCTTGTATAAAGCAAGCAACAAAAATGCTCAAATATATAAATGCATGGGTAAATAAAGCCCTGAACTAACTTAATATGGGAACCATAAAAGCAAATGTGAATATGGCATTTCAAGACTACATAACTAAGAAGGAAGCCAAACTATAAATTAATTCCTGTAGAATAAATATGGAGAAAGCAAATATAACTGTAAAAATGGAGCAAAGCATGTTGCAAAATCCTGTGAATGTGAATAGACTTATAGATTAACAAATGGTTCAAGAAAAACTGGTACAATGGAGACAGAAAAATGATTTCCAATGTTATGATTGCTTATAGAAAAGACAAATAGTCACTTATACATATGTACAACAAGCAATAAAAAAGAAGTCTAATAGAAATTGGCTGTTGAATGACCATAATTATATAACAAGAAAATAATTTTAAAAAGAATCAGATAGGTTCTGTTCTTCATTCTCAAAAGCTAGACTACCATTTTTGCTGGAATTCACATTATATACTTCATCTGTGTCACTCATTGCATTAAAAGCGTCATCAGTCCTTTAAACCAGCGGTCCCC